CATCAGCAAACTCCTTAAAAGTAATCAAGTTGTGTTGTGTTATTTCTACAAGCTACAAGAGTCGAAAATGAAACTCTTGTTGTTAACCTAAAGATCAAAAATTAGTCTTAAAAGACGTGTTTCTTTTGTGGCCGATTCGCGGTCAAAACTCGAATATGTGCCTAAGAAGCAGGAGCTTTTTTTGCTGAATTAAAATCTCTACTAAATGTTCCAGCTTGAATAGCAGCTTCAGCAGCTTCAGAAGCTTCACCAGTTTTTGACACCGGCGCTCAGTGTGGACCAAATGTTACAAAGCAAACGCACAAACAAACAGGCAACAAGCTGGAACAGATTTACTTAATTAGCAAAAAGTGGGCTGCTAAATACCGACAAAAGGAAAATAACTTTGGATAAAGCGATTTGCATGCAGTGCCATTAGAGGCGTAGTACCATTAGAGAGCGCCTCTAAGCTCTCTAATGCTGGAACATTTAGTAGAGATTTTAATTCAGCAAAAAAGCTCCTGCTTCTTAGGCACATATTAGAGTAAATACGGCATTCAGAGAATCGTTTCGTTTAGGTTTACTTTCGCTGGAGCAGCTCTTCAAGCCTGCACTCAACTCAGTACCCATCTAAAACTCAACTTTACGCATCTAGCCGGTCGATTTTGTTGTTTCTGGATCAAAACCAGTATTTTTACACATTTGAATTCTCTTGAATGAAAATATTTATACGGCAAAGGAAAATTCGGGTTTTGACTATTGGAAAATTTGAAAGAAAGTTCTACGTTAGCAAAAAATTAAACAATCGAGTCAAAATGAATCTAGTCAAAATAAAGTTCAAAACAGAAACTGAAAAACGAAATTTGTTATTTATTGTGGCTGTCAAGCATTTTATTTTGACTGTCGAAAAAAATAGATTTGTTATCGTTGATTTGATCCTAAAAATTTCCCCCTCCACTTTTCATCGGATCTAAACAATTGTGGTGAAAGGAAATGACAAAAATCTCCTCAAAAACAGGATTTTTCTTGCACGACTTTGTTGATATTTTCTGGAAATTTGGTAGCACTTGCAGATATTGTGATTGTTATTTTTAACAGAGAAACAATCCAGAAAATGAATCTTAATGTTAATGAAGTAAACTTTTGCTTGACTAGGGCACTTTTGAACTTATAGAACTTATGCCAGATACAGTGGTCCACAAAAGTAAAGCCCCATTGCCATTCAAAAGTATTTTTTGCAAAATTCCTTCTGAAAACATACACCCATGCACAAAAAAATGTCACTCGTTTTTACAAAACTTTACGCCTAAATTTGACCTACTAAACGTGTTCCAAATTCTTGCTGTCAAAAGGTTTTAGATAGCAAAAGCTTCTACTTTCTTGTGAAAAAGTGTTAAAGTTCCAGCAATTTGTTTAAATTTTTATTTTTCAATAAATACCGGAAGAACACCAAAAACGGGTGCACAAAAAAATGTCACACATAAAATAAAAATTGATAAAAACAAAAATCTAATATTTTGTCGGGCCTCCCTTAGCTTGAATAACTGCCTGAATCCTCCGTGGCATCGAATCAGTCAAATCCTCCAAGAGGATCCTCAAATCTTCCGCTTCGAATGAAGTACCAAAGCTCAACCTTGGTCGCAAATCGTTTTGCCCTTCAGTTTACCCTTGATGTGCGACCACAAATGCTCGATTACGTTGAGATCCGGGCTGTAAGGTGGAGCAGCGACGAGCTTGACACGTTGTCAGCGAACCATCCCGGTAAACGAGCTCTTCCACCGTTTGAAAGTCGGCCGACCCTTCCTATCAACATCTGGTGCTTGTGACACGGAGCGTTATCCTGGTACAACAACCATCCTTGTCCCATATTCGTGGTCGCAAATGGAAGAAGATCATTCTCCAGGATCGTCTTGTACCGCTGGGCCTTCAAGGTTGAGTTGAGAAAGACGAGCGGACCTGGTGAACTTCTAGTCATCGCTCCTGAAAAAAGCAAGATTAGTTGACATAAGGGAACAAGTCTTTTACCCCATAGCATAATCGATCCGCCACCAAATTTGACTGTCGGCCGCAAGTATTTGATGTTATGGCGTTGTCCAACTGGTCTCCGGATCAAGTGATTGCCATTAGGGTTGAAGAGATTGATCTTCGACTCATCGGTGAAATGACATTGGTCCAGTCATTCGGCGTCAACTTTGGTACTTTTTTGCGAACTCGAGTCGGATCTTCCTGTGCTTGGCAACCATCAGAGGCTTCTTGGCGGCCCTTCTAGTTATCAATCCTGCTCGATTCAAGCGTCGGCTCACTGTCATTCGATTGATATCCTTGCCGAATTGTTGCTTGATGAGGCAAACACCATCCGACGCGTTAAGATTCGGGTCCTTATTGTGCGCCAAAATCAAAGCCTTGTCTTCGCGTGGTGTAGTGGCTGGTGGCCGTCCACTTCCTGGTGTCCTGTGCAAATTTCCAGTCGTTCTGCCTTCGCAGCAATGCGAGAAACGGTTCTTACTCACATTTGAACAGCTCGGCCACCTATTTCCGCGGGATTCCTTGTTTCCTTGCTTCAACAATCTTTTCTTTGTCTGGCGTTGAGAGCTGTGATTTTACCATTCTAAGATTAAAAAAATTAGCATAAAAGAATGCAATCAAAAAAAGTAAAACGGAAAAAAGCAGGTTCAAGTTAATGTGACATTTTTTTTGTGCACCCGTTTTTGGTGTTCTTCCGGTATTTATTGAAAAATAAAAATTTAAACAAATTGCTGGAACTTTAACACTTTTTCACAAGAAAGTAGAAGCTTTTGCTATCTAAAACCTTTTGACAGCATAAATTTGGAACACGTTTAGTAGGTCAAATTTAGGCGTAAAGTTTTGTAAAAACGATGTGACATTTTTTTGTGCATGGGTGTATGTTTAAAGTCTATATTTTTCTTTTAAAATACGAGCACGACTTCCGGGCTGGTTTGCCGGAAAATCGAGTCAAATTGATCAATTCGCCTCTCTACTCACCGGATATTAATGTTATCGAGCATCCCCTTTTTAGTATTTTGTCACCTGACTGTTTTTCTTTAGAAGCGATGTCACGAACTTTAGTAGGTCCATTAGTTCACGCCAACTCAACGATGAATGCTGTGGCTTACAAGAACATTATGGAGACCCAAATGCTGCCTTTTGCCACACAGACGATGCCTCCTGGATGGATGCTCTACCAGGACAACGACCCGAAACACAAGTCAAGGCTCATGATGGGAACGGTGGTGACTCTTCAAAATGGTACACGAGCACGACTTCCGGGCTGATTTGCCGGAAAATCGAGTCAAATTGATGAATTCGCCTCTCTACTCACCGGATATCAATGTTATCGAGCATCTCTGGTCATTTGTGGAGTCGCGACTCAAGGGAAAGAAATTCGATTCGAAGGCTGCCTTATGGGTTCACATTCAACTTCTCTGGGCCACCATCCCCCAAAGTCTTTTGGAGAATCTCGTGGATTCCATGCCGGATCGACTCAATGAAGTAATAAAAGCAAAAGGAGGACCAACCAAGTATTGATTTTAAAAAATGGTGTTAATTCTTTGCAAATGGGGCATTACTTTTGTGGAGCTAATTTTTAAGTAACTTATTGGTTTTATTTTATACTTTAATTTGTATGTAATGTATACAAATAAATCTTATATTCTTGAAAAGTAGAGTCTTATGGGTAAGCAAAATACCCTACACTTTTTCGGAATATCGTTATTTTGCAAGATTTTCGTACGAAAGAAACTTTTGGATGGCAATGGGACAATACTTTTGTGGACCACTATATGTCAAAATGTGCTTATGTTTTTTTTTTTAGTTTTTGCAAAAACTTTTTTGTTTTGAATAATATTTGTATTGTTTCAGCTCGACAAAGATGGATGACCAAAAATTTAAAATCAGGGCTGCCATATTCTTTGAATTCAAGTTAATCAAGAAAGCTACGGAATGCCATCAGAACATTTGTACTGTTTTTGGAGAAGCTGCTCTTATTTACACATTAAGCACATTTTGACATACCCTACTCTTTTTCTGAAATGTCAATTTTGAAAGATTTCCTTACAAAGCATACTGTTGGACGGCAATGGGGCATTACTTTTGTGGACCACTGTATCTATGCGATAACTTTTTTCATAATTCATCTTTCTACTCATTTTTGATTGTTGTTAAGACGTAAATTTACCAAGCAATAGACAGGCCAGAAGAGAACAAAAAAAGAAACCTTATTAAGAAAACTAGTTAGGTTCAGTGCCAGATCAATCTTGTTGGATCTTTTTTGAGCCCACGGTCATTCAATTTGATTGGAATTTTGTAGCAAATTAGCTGTTTATAAGTTATAAACCAAAAATTAGAAATAAAATCCCGTTTGTGTGGTGATTTTTGTCATTTCCTTTCACCACAATCGTCTAGATTCGATGAAAAGTGGAGGGGGAAATTTTTACGATCAAATCAACGATACCAAATCTATTTTTTGACAGCTATTATCCTAATAAACAATAAAATGTTTAAAAAGATAGTGAACTCATTTTTGTTTTGTTTTGAACTTTATTTTAACTACCTTAAATACTGCAATAGTCCCCCACCACCATAATGACGGTGTGGAGTGTTGCGTAGTCTAGCTTTGAACGAGTTTTTCTCGACACTGGTTTATGCTACAATGTGCGCTTTGGTATCAAAAAATGGCTCTGAATTTTAGCTATTCTTTGATACCAAAGACGCATTTTTTGAAAGTACGGGCGCTTTGAAAAAAAAAAACTTTTGCGACTACGCGACTGTACGAGGGGGGTGGGGTACTATTACAGTATTTACGGTAGGTTGTTTCATTTTTAGCGTTTTGTCGTTTTTGTGGAGAAAGCATATTCTAGAAACTAGATGTACTAAGTTGATGCAAAAGAAATTTCAGTTTTTTCGATCAACTACAACTTTTCTAATCATAAGATTTATTCATTGTTTTAACAATCCTGACAAGTTTTTGACGAGTTCAAGCCATCTTTAGCATCGAGCAATCAATCCTTGGTCCCTTTACCGGCCGGTTTCTTGCATCCAACGAGTGCTTGGTAATCACTTTCCACATTGTTCCACTTTCCGTTCCATGGTCTCATCTGAAGGAAATTTTAAACAGAAATTTGCTTTAAATGACGTTTTATAATTCGAAACACCCACATGAACCCATTTCTCGGTGCTCCCGCTCGATGGTTCTCCCTCATCCCAATTCACGTAATCCAAAGCACTTCCATCACTCCAAACCCATCCATGAGCCTCGAGCTTAATCATAAAATCAAAATTTCACTTTTGTTATAACAAATTTTTGAATGCTTTGTTAAAACCTTCTAGCAAACCTTCAATCCAATCCAGCAGTCACGATTCATTTCACGAACCAATCCTTAAAAACTCTTTTATTCTCTTGCAGAGAAACTTTTCAACCTTGGAAAAAGCGCTGCTCTTCTTCGCTGTGTATTGAGACGAGATCAGCCTCTTCAGCCAAATCTCTGCAAACATTTTCAGCTGTTTCGTATGTGACCTGACTGTTGGTTATCTGAAAGTTTAATTATTAGGTTCTAAGTTAGGATTGATTTATTTCGACCTTGATTAACGGAAGAAGGTTTAGAAATGATTCAGGAACATAAACGCTTTGTTCATAAATGTTTTTTGTTGTTGCTAGAACATTCGCTCACAATTTTGCGGACTGCTTATGCAGAAATAGTGAAATTCAATACGCGGAATAGAAGTGAAATTTCTCGAGCCGTTGTCTTCGATCCTTCGACCGTTTCTCGCATTGTTTCAAAAGCAAAAACAACTGAACTTATGCACCGAAGAGAGAAGAAAGGACGGCCAAGAAGAACAACAGCAAAAGAAGATCGAATACTCATGAGGCCTTCCAGGAAGGATCCGAACATGAGATCAAGTGAGGGAGCTCGGCTGATCAAGGATGTTGAAAACAAGGATATCTCTCGATGGACCGTTTCTCGATGATTGACTCAAGCAGGACTGTATAGCTGGAGGGCTGTACGAAAGCCTTTGATGACCGCTGGCCACAGCAAACAACGGCTTCTATTCGCCAGGACGTACCAAAGTTGGACAAAGCAGGATTGGGCCAATGTGATTTTTGTCGATGAAACAAAAGTGGATATCTTTTCTCCAAAAGGCAACCACTTGATCAGACGACCCATTGGAAAGCGAATACTCCCTAAATATGTGCGACCTACAAAGCGAGCTGGTGGAAGATCAATAATGTGTTTTGGTAAGCCTTATTTCTAATACATGCATTAATTTGTCTTTTTCTAGGGGCGATGACAAAAAATGTGGCAGGTCCGCTCGTCCTCGTCCAGTCAACCATGAATGCTCGCCAGTATATGGAAATACTAGAAGGATGTCTACTTCCATTTGCTCAGGATCACATGGCTCCTGGATTCTCTACCAGGACAATTCGCCGGTCCACAAAAGCAAGCTCATGATGGGTCGCACGGTGAATCTCTCAAATGGAGGAAATTCCCTGGATGGTTTGCCCTTAATAATGTTTTGTTGGTCAAGGTGCCCCCTATGTCGCCTGATTTAAACGTTGTTGAGAATTTATGGGCTTACGTGAAGGCAAAGTTACGAGGAAAAGACTTTCACACAAAAGTTGAATTATGGTTCTACATACGAAAAGTTTGGAGCTCAATTCGCCCAGCAATTCTTCACGAATTAGTCGACTCAATGCCTAAACGACTTAATGAAGTGACTTTGGCAAAAGGTCGACCGATTGAATATTAATTTTTGATGTTTCTGTATAATATTGCTAATGGAGAATACCTTTCGAATTGAAAGCTCTTCTTTTGTGTTTTTTTGAAATAAATCATTTGTTACATAAGCGCGTCATTATTAAGTTGCCAACCTAATATTAGGTTGGCGACATTGAAATTTCGTTTGCGTTTCTCTTTATGGATTTTAACACTGTGGATACTATTACCACCGCAATCTCTTCTGTTTTAAAGATATAATTATTGTGCTCTATTACGCGTCTTTTCTTTATTTCCAGTTGAAGAATTTTAATAAAAAAATCTTATAGATGCTAGACGACCTCAAATATCGACTTCGCATTTGTTGCTGTAGGATTTTCAACAGGAAAAAACAGCAACTGTATCGCATGAATCACTTTGTAAAGTATTTGAGAAAGATTTTATCACTGTTCATCAATGTCAAAACTGGTTCAAAAGATTTCGAAAGGGTGACGGAAGTCTGGAAGATCTGGGACGAGGACAAACAATGATTTGAAGCAGATAATCGAAAGTGATCCGATAAAGGCTACACGTGAACTTGCGGAATATTTTAATCGTGATCATAAAACAATCGAAAACCATTTACATGAATTGAGCAAGATCAATAAAGCTGGAAAATGAATTCCACATTCACTAAGCGATGCAAGCAAAGCCATCAGAGTTCTTTGTTCAGGAAATTTGCTTCGAGTTTCCAAGGATAGTGAATTTTGGGATGCAATTTTAACTTCTTCTAAGAAATGGATTCATTATGACAATATTACAAGAATAAGACAATGGCTCGACCCGGATGAAATTTCAAAGCCAATACCTAGACCAGATTTTCACGGAAAAAAGTTATGCTGTCGGTTTGGTGGAATACCCGAGGCTTGGTTCATTTCGAAGTGTTAATTTTGAAGTGATTGTTGATGCAAATCTTTACGTTCAACAACTAGATCGCGTGGACGCGGTTCTTCGCTCAAAAGGAATTGATCCGACAACGGTGCGATTGTTACAAGACAATGCCCGTCCTCACATTGCCAAAATTACGCAAGAGAAGATTGAGCAATTGGGCTGGGAACTTCTAGTTCATTCGCCTTATAGTCCAGATATTGCCAGATATGTCATTCTGACTACCATTTCTTTATTCGGCATTCACTCGAAAGCCACAAGTTCCAGAACATTGACGACATCAAAAATGGGTCTCTGCTTTCTTTCAATCAAAACCAGTACAATTCTTTCAAGAGAGTATCCATAATTTGCGTCAAAGATAGAAAAATGTTATTGATAGCTGTGGCGAATATATTGTTGATTAATGTTGTTTGTTTCTAGTTTATTTTTACGAATAAATTTTGTTGTTGCTCAAAAACGAAATTTCAATGTCGCCAACCTAATACAAATTAAGAAGTAAAAAGTCAATGAGTAGAAAATCATTTGCCTGTTGTAAATGAGTAGAAAATCATCAGCAAACTCCTTAAAAGTAATCAAGTTGTGTTGTGTTATTTCTACAAGCTACAAGAGTCGAAAATGAAACTCTTGTTGTTAACCTAAAGATCAAAAATTAGTCTTAAAAGACGTGTTTCTTTTGTGGCCGATTCGCGGTCAAAACTCGAATATGTGCCTAAGAAGCAGGAGCTTTTTTGCTGAATTAAAATCTCTACTAAATGTTCCAGCTTGAATAGCAGCTTCAGCAGCTTCAGAAGCTTCACCAGTTTTTGACACCGGCGCTCAGTGTGGACCAAATGTTACAAAGCAAACGCACAAACAAACAGGCAACAAGCTGGAACAGATTTACTTAATTAGCAAAAAGTGGGCTGCTAAATACCGACAAAAGGAAAATAACTTTGGATAAAGCGATTTGCATGCAGTGCCATTAGAGGCGTAGTACCATTAGAGAGCGCCTCTAAGCTCTCTAATGCTGGAACATTTAGTAGAGATTTTAATTCAGCAAAAAAGCTCCTGCTTCTTAGGCACATATTAGAGTAAATACGGCATTCAGAGAATCGTTTCGTTTAGGTTTACTTTCGCTGGAGCAGCTCTTCAAGCCTGCACTCAACTCAGTACCCATCTAAAACTCAACTTTACGCATCTAGCCGGTCGATTTTGTTGTTTCTGGATCAAAACCAGTATTTTTACACATTTGAATTCTCTTGAATGAAAATATTTATACGGCAAAGGAAAATTCGGGTTTTGACTATTGGAAAATTTGAAAGAAAGTTCTACGTTAGCAAAAAATTAAACAATCGAGTCAAAATGAATCTAGTCAAAATAAAGTTCAAAACAGAAACTGAAAAACGAAATTTGTTATTTATTGTGGCTGTCAAGCATTTTATTTTGACTGTCGAAAAAAAATAGATTTGTTATCGTTGATTTGATCCTAAAAATTTCCCCCTCCACTTTTCATCGGATCTAAACAATTGTGGTGAAAGGAAATGACAAAAATCTCCTCAAAAACAGGATTTTTCTTGCACGACTTTGTTGATATTTTCTGGAAATTTGGTAGCACTTGCAGATATTGTGATTGTTATTTTTAACAGAGAAACAATCCAGAAAATGAATCTTAATGTTAATGAAGTAAACTTTTGCTTGACTAGGGCACTTTTGAACTTATAGAACTTATGCCAGATACAGTGGTCCACAAAAGTAATGCCCCATTGCCATTCAAAAGTATTTTTTGCGAAATTCCTTCTGAAAACATACACCCATGCACAAAAAAAATGTCACATCGTTTTTACAAAACTTTACGCCTAAATTTGACCTACTAAACGTGTTCCAAATTCTATGCTGTCAAAAGGTTTTAGATAGCAAAAAGCTTCTACTTTCTTGTGAAAAAGTGTTAAAGTTCCAGCAATTTGTTTAAATTTTTATTTTTCAATAAATACCGGAAGAACACCAAAAACGGGTGCACAAAAAAATGTCACACATAAAATAAAAATTGATAAAAACAAAAATCTAATATTTTGTCGGGCCTCCCTTAGCTTGAATAACTGCCTGAATCCTCCGTGGCATCGAATCAGTCAAATCCTCCAAGAGGATCCTCAAATCTTCCGCTTCGAATGAAGTACCAAAGCTCAACCTTGGTCGCAAATCGTTTGCCCTTCAGTTTACCCTTGATGTGCGACCACAAATGCTCGATTACGTTGAGATCCGGGCTGTAAGGTGGAGCAGCGACGAGCTTGACACGATTGTCAGCGAACCATCCCGGTAAACGAGCTCTTCCACCGTTTGAAAGTCGGCCGACCCTTCCTATCAACATCTGGTGCTTGTGACACGGAGCGTTATCCTGGTACAACAACCATCCTTGTCCCATATTCGTGGTCGCAAATGGAAGAAGATCATTCTCCAGGATCGTCTTGTACCGCTGGGCCTTCAAGGTTGAGTTGAGAAAGACGAGCGGACCTGGTGAACTTCTAGTCATCGCTCCTGAAAAAAAGCAAGATTAGTTGACATAAGGGAACAAGTCTTTTACCCCATAGCATAATCGATCCGCCACCAAATTTGACTGTCGGCCGCAAGTATTTGATGTTATGGCGTTGTCCAACTGGTCTCCGGATCAAGTGATTGCCATTAGGGTTGAAGAGATTGATCTTCGACTCATCGGTGAAAATGACATTGGTCCAGTCATTCGGCGTCCAACTTTGGTACTTTTTTGCGAACTCGAGTCGGATCTTCCTGTGCTTGGCAACCATCAGAGGCTTCTTGGCGGCCCTTCTAGTTATCAATCCTGCTCGATTCAAGCGTCGGCTCACTGTCATTCGATTGATATCCTTGCCGAATTGTTGCTTGATGAGGCAAACACCATCCGACGCGTTAAGATTCGGGTCCTTATTGTGCGCCAAAATCAAAGCCTTGTCTTCGCGTGGTGTAGTGGCTGGTGGCCGTCCACTTCCTGGTGTCCTGTGCAAATTTCCAGTCGTTCTCGCCTTCGCAGCAATGCGAGAAACGGTTCTTACATCACATTTGAACAGCTCGGCCACCTATTTCCGCGGGATTCCTTGTTTCCTTGCTTCAACAATCTTTTCTTTGTCTGGCGTTGAGAGCTGTGATTTTACCATTCTAAGATTAAAAAAATTAGCATAAAAGAATGCAATCAAAAAAAAGTAAAACGGAAAAAAAGCAGGTTCAAGTTAAATGTGACATTTTTTTTGTGCACCCGTTTTTGGTGTTCTTCCGGTATTTATTGAAAAATAAAAATTTAAACAAATTGCTGGAACTTTAACACTTTTTCACAAGAAAGTAGAAGCTTTTTGCTATCTAAAACCTTTTGACAGCATAGAATTTGGAACACGTTTAGTAGGTCAAATTTAGGCGTAAAGTTTTGTAAAAACGATGTGACATTTTTTTTGTGCATGGGTGTATGTTTAAAGTCTATATTTTTCTTTTAAAATACGAGCACGACTTCCGGGCTGGTTTGCCGGAAAATCGAGTCAAATTGATCAATTCGCCTCTCTACTCACCGGATATTAATGTTATCGAGCATCCCCTTTTAGTATTTTGTCACCTGACTGTTTTTCTTTAGAAGCGATGTCACGAACTTTAGTAGGTCCATTAGTTCACGCCAACTCAACGATGAATGCTGTGGCTTACAAGAACATTATGGAGACCCAAATGCTGCCTTTTGCCACACAGACGATGCCTCCTGGATGGATGCTCTACCAGGACAACGACCCGAAACACAAGTCAAGGCTCATGATGGGAACGGTGGTGACTCTTCAAAATGGTACACGAGCACGACTTCCGGGCTGATTTGCCGGAAAATCGAGTCAAATTGATGAATTCGCCTCTCTACTCACCGGATATCAATGTTATCGAGCATCTCTGGTCATTTGTGGAGTCGCGACTCAAGGGAAAGAAATTCGATTCGAAGGCTGCCTTATGGGTTCACATTCAACTTCTCTGGGCCACCATCCCCCAAAGTCTTTTGGAGAATCTCGTGGATTCCATGCCGGATCGACTCAATGAAGTAATAAAAGCAAAAGGAGGACCAACCAAGTATTGCTTTTAAAAAATGGTGTTAATTCTTTGCAAATGGGGCATTACTTTTGTGGAGCTAATTTTTAAGTAACATATTGGTTTTATTTTATACTTTAATTTGTATGTAATGTATACAAATAAATCTTATATTCTTGAAAAGTAGAGTCTTATGGGTAAGCAAAATACCCTACACTTTTTCGGAATATCGTTATTTTGCAAGATTTTCGTACGAAAGAAACTTTTGGATGGCAATGGGACAATACTTTTGTGGACCACTATATGTCAAAATGTGCTTATGTTTTTTTTTTAGTTTTTGCAAAAACTTTTTTGTTTTGAATAATATTTGTATTGTTTCAGCTCGACAAAGATGGATGACCAAAAATTTAAAACCAGGGCTGCCATATTCTTTGAATTCAAGTTAATCAAGAAAGCTACGGAATGCCATCAGAACATTTGTACTGTTTTTGGAGAAGCTGCTCTTATTTACACATTAAGCACATTTTGACATACCCTACTCTTTTTCTGAAATGTCAATTTTGAAAGATTTCCTTACAAAGCATACTGTTGGACGGCAATGGGGCATTACTTTTGTGGACCACTGTATCTATGCGATAACTTTTTTCATAATTCATCTTTCTACTCATTTTTGATTGTTGTTAAGACGTAAATTTACCAAGCAATAGACAGGCCAGAAGAGAACAAAAAAAGAAACCTTATTAAGAAAACTAGTTAGGTTCAGTTCCAGATCAATCTTGTTGGATCTTTTTGAGCCCACGGTCATTCAATTTGATTGGAATTTTGTAGCAAATTAGCTGTTTATAAGTTATAAACCAAAAATTAGAAATAAAATCCCGTTTGTGTGGTGATTTTTGTCATTTCCTTTCACCACAATCGTCTAGATTCGATGAAAAGTGGAGGGGGAAATTTTTACGATCAAATCAACGATACCAAATCTATTTTTTTGACAGCTATTATCCTAATAAACAATAAAATGTTTAAAAAGATAGTGAACTCATTTTTGTTTTGTTTTGAACTTTATTTTAACTACCTTAAATACTGCAATAGTCCCCCACCACCATAATGACGGTGTGGAGTGTTGCGTAGTCTAGCGTTGAACGAGTTTTTCTCGACACTGGTTTATGCTACAATGTGCGCTTTGGTATCAAAAAATGGCTCTGAATTTTAGCTATTCTTTGATACCAAAGACGCATTTTTTGAAAGTACGGGCGCTTTGAAAAAAAAAACTTTTGCGACCACGCGACTGTACGAGGGGGGTGGGGTACTATTACAGTATTTACGGTAGGTTGTTTCATTTTTAGCGTTTTGTCGTTTTTGTGGAGAAAGCATATTCTAGAAACTAGATGTACTAAGTTGATGCAAAAGAAATTTCAGTTTTTTCGATCAACTACAACTTTTCTAATCATAAGATTTATTCATTGTTTTAACAATCCTGACAAGTTTTTGACGAGTTCAAGCCATCTTTAGCATCGAGCAATCAATCCTTGGTCCCTTTACCGGCCGGTTTCTTGCATCCAACGAGTGCTTGGTAATCACTTTCCACATTGTTCCACTTTCCGTTCCATGGTCTCATATGAAGGAAATTTTAAACAGAAATTTGCTTTAAATGACGTTTTATAATTAGAAACACCCACATGAACCCATTTCTCGGTGCTCCCGCTCGATGGTTCTCCCTCATCCCAATTCACGTAATCCAAAGCACTTCCATCACTCCAAACCCATCCATGAGCCTCGAGCTTAATCATAAAATCAAAATTTCACTTTTGTTATAACAAATTTTTGAATGCTTTGTTAAAACCTTCTAGCAAACCTTCAATCCAATCCAGCAGTCACGATTCATTTCACGAACCAATCCTTAAAAACTCTTTTATTCTCTTGCAGAGAAACTTTTCAACCTTGGAAAAAGCGCTGCTCTTCTTCGCTGTGTATTGAGACGAGATCAGCCTCTTCAGCCAAATCTCTGCAAACATTTTCAGCTGTTTCGTATGTGACCTGACTGTTGGTTATCTGAAAGTTTAATTATTAGGTTCTAAGTTAGGATTGATTTATTTCGACCTTGATTAACGGAAGAAGGTTTAGAAATGATTCAGGAACATAAACGCTTTGTTCATAAATGTTTTTTGTTGTTGCTAGAACATTCGCTCACAATTTTGCGGACTGCTTATGCAGAAATAGTGAAATTCAATACGCGGAATAGAAGTGAAATTTCTCGAGCCGTTGTCTCCGATCCTTCGACCGTTTCTCGCATTGTTTCAAAAGCAAAAACAACTGAACTTATGCACCGAAGAGAGAAGAAAGGACGGCCAAGAAGAACAACAGCAAAAGAAGATCGAATACTCATGAGGCCTTCCAGGAAGGATCCGAACATGAGATCAAGTGAGGGAGCTCGGCTGATCAAGGATGTTGAAAACAAGGATATCTCTCGATGGACCGTTTCTCGATGATTGACTCAAGCAGGACTGTATAGCTGGAGGGCTGTACGAAAGCCTTTGATGACCGCTGGCCACAGCAAACAACGGCTTCTATTCGCCAGGACGTACCAAAGTTGGACAAAGCAGGATTGGGCCAATGTGATTTTTGTCGATGAAACAAAAGTGGATATCTTTTCTCCAAAAGGCAACCACTTGATCAGACGACCCATTGGAAAGCGAATACTCCCTAAATATGTGCGACCTACAAAGTGAGCTGGTGGAAGATCAATAATGTGTTTTGGTAAGCCTTATTTCTAATACATGCATTAATTTGTCTTTTTCTAGGGGCGATGACAAAAATGTGGCAGGTCCGCTCGTCCTCGTCCAGTCAACCATGAATGCTCGCCAGTATATGGAAATACTAGAAGGATGTCTACTTCCATTTGCTCAGGATCACATGGCTCCTGGATTCTCTACCAGGACAATTCGCCGGTCCACAAAAGCAAGCTCATGATGGGTCGCACGGTGAATCTCTCAAATGGAGGAAATTCCCTGGATGGTTTGCCCTTAATAATGTTTTGTTGGTCAAGGTGCCCCCTATGTCGCCTGATTTAAACGTTATTGAGAATTTATGGGCTTACGTGAAGGCAAAGTTACGAGGAAAAGACTTTCACACAAAAGTTGAATTATGGTTCTACATACGAAAAGTTTGGAGCTCAATTCGCCCAGCAATTCTTCACGAATTAGTCGACTCAATGCCTAAACGACTTAATGAAGTGACTTTGGCAAAAGGTCGACCGATTGAATATTAATTTTTGATGTTTCTGTATAATATTGCAAGACTTTTGCTCGGTAGTGTATATTCCGTTTTTGCTAAATGACAATCTACCAGGAGTTATAAGCGTCTAAAGTTTTGTTAGACCTCTTTTTCCATTTTATAAAGGTCTGGCCACAAGAAATATGCACACAGAACACTAGCACTTCTTCTTGAAAGCACTTCTTGAAAGCACTTCTTGAAAATTTTCCGCTTCTATGGAACTTATTCGGAGGAACTTCTAGAAATTCAGCTAGTAATTTATAGTGTCTCCAATTTACATTCCAAACAAACGATGCTCGATAGCAGAAATTTTTAAAGTGTCTCCATCCAAGTCCACACTTGAAGAGGCTCAACGGAGAAATTCCGCTAAAAAACTTTTGCTATTTTCTTTTTCTGCTCTTATGGCTGCTTTTTTGGCCTATTTATGGCTGCTTTTTTTTCTAATGAATGACAATTTAACTAAACTAACTTACTTAGTGTCAACTTGATCGTCTTCGTCGCTTTCAGGTAAACTAAAACTCTCGGATTGTACAAAAAGCCCATACCATATTTTCTCTAATAGTAGTGCACCCTGGCGAGCCGAGTTGATGACTATTTTACGGTTTCCAAGCTTTTGCAGAAGCTCAACACTCTAATCCTCCACTAGATCTCATCGTCAGCTACATTTTCCGATCCCACATCGATAGGTTCTGATAAGCGGTTCTCGAGATTTCGAGCAATTTAGGCGACGCTCACGGTGCACTACTATTAGAGAAAATAGGGTAATTGAATACCTTGTTGTTGGTTTTGAATGCAATTCCTTCGTTGACTCCAAATTTTCGATTCGAGAATGCAGTTTCTTGCTAAAATTTTATAGTAATATTGATGCTAACAACCTACAGATCTTCTCCTTTCAACGCGTCGATCTCTGCCTGGAGATTGTTGCTAAAATTTGAGAATGTCTACTTTTTTTGAAACTTTCATTGCCAACTTACGGCTTTCCATTCATTGATTCAATTTTTTCCTCATCATCATCAACTTTTGATTGGAGTTTGTAACTAAAAATTGCTTCTTGATATTTAAATTTTAAAAGGGAGTGGATAAAATGTTTAAAAAGAAAGTGAGATCATTTTTGTTTTGTTTTGAACTTTATTTTAACTACCGTAAATACTGTAATAGTCCCCCACCACCATAATGACGGTGCGGAGTGTTGCGTAGTCTAGCTTTGAACGCGTTTTTCTCGACACTGGTTTATGCTACAATGCGTGCTTAGGTACCAAAAAATAGCCCTGAATTTCAGCTATTTTTTGATACTAAAGACGCATTTTTTGAAAGTACGGGCGCTTTGAAAAAATGAAATACTAATAAACTTTTGCGACTACGCGACTGTACGAGGGGGGTGGGGTCCAATTACAGTATTTACGGTAGTTATTTTTTTTTTTTTCGAAAAATTCTCATTCTGTCGCCAGCAAAGCAACAAAATTTTCTATTGCATTTTTAGTTTTGAACTATTTTTTTTGATTTGCGTGCTATTTTTTATTCTTCGAATTTTAATTTGCAAAATAAAACTCTTTATTTAGTGATGAAGATGTCGAGATGAAGAGGAGACAATTGACGAAGATGAAGTGCCGAAATTTGTTCTAGTCGAGTTCACGGAACCGGAAAAATTATTACAAAGATTTCGAAACTGTGGAAAGTTACTAGGAGGAGAAAATCTACGGCAAGATCGATTGTGTGAACAAAAAAAGAAACCAATTTGACAGCAATCAAACGATGCGCAACGCACAAATGATCCATCCACGGAACCGCCGGTCTACTCAAGAGTACATTCCTCCTCAAGAATTCCTCAAGAAACAAAAATAACATGTTGAAACATGGTCGTGTCTGCGTGTCTGAGACAGTCGACGAATTGCCGAATTGCTGAAACTTGTTTTAGTCCAGTTCACGGAAGCGGAAAAATCATTACAAAGATTTCAAAACTGTGGAAAGTTACTAGGAGGAAGAAATGTACGGGAAACGCAAGATCGATTGTGTGAACAAAACGAGCAACCAATTTGACAGCAACCATACGATGCGCAACGCACAAATGATCCACGGAACCGCCGGTCTACCCTAGAGTACATTCCTGGAACAAAAACAAGATGTGGAAACATGGTCGTGTCTGCGGCGGCTCCATTAGATACTCGCTCCAATTAGATATACGGAATTGTCCACTTTCCACAAAACTAAAACTTTAACCTATATGTATTATAGCAATTTTCATCGAGAACCGGTCCTAAAGTGCCATCCCCATTAAATTTCACTTCAACTGCTGGTAGACATGGCTTTCATGTTTCATTTTCTGAAGTTTCTCTTGATGATCGTCACTAGAAACGAAATTTGACGATGAGGGCAAGATGAACGCAGATGAAGGTCTAATTTTTTTTGTCAAATTTTTACGTCTTATTCTGCTGATCTTCATTTTTATGTTTGTTCAAAACCGACGTAAATCCAATAGGCTTGCCCTCATCGTCACGTGCAATTGGAGTGCCGTCGTCAAGTATGTATTCGCCAGTGATATCCGTAGCGAGTGGCGTTCCATCAGGCTAAACAACTGGGATTCGGGTTCTACCGGTCTCATCGATAGTTTCTACCTGTCTCATCTCATTCGGGTTCAACACCTTGCTTGTTACTTTCGGTTCGGCAGTTCCAATGAAGACATGACGTCCCTTGCTGTCAGTCGGCAAAAATTCACCACGGGAATCAACGGGCAATCCATTGGCGTTGGTTGGCACCGGTTCATCTTCTGGTCGAACGTGTCTTCCGCTTGCATCAGTAGGCAGTAGTGTTCCATTGGGTCCGACAATAATTGTGACTGGTGTTGAGGCCGCGAAAGCATAATATGCACCTCCAAATGTCGCCAGCACGATGAGCAGCACAATTGGAATCGAAATTGAAAAGCGGCAGAGGTTTTGGACTCGTTTGAGTGTATGATCCGCCAAAACGGGGTTTTCTTCAAGGTGAATCATCTTGAAATTTTTTGGCTTTTGTTCTGCTTCTGTGCTTTGTGCTTTTGTGCCAGCATTTCTTAGCAGTACTGCTTCTAACGGCCCCATAGATGATGTGATCGGTGGTGGCGAAAGTTCAGAATGATTTGTGCTGCGATTTGTTCGAGCTTCTGCTATTTCAAATTGAGCCCCAGCGACATTTTCTTCCATTTGTTCTTCTTCGGCTTTGTGTTCCATCGTTGCTATTTTGCTTTCTTTTATTGATATTGCGTTGACTTCCGAAGAATTGCTGATGATCGTCACATTTGGAAGTGAGAGGTCAAGAGAAGGTGTCCTGCTAATTGGTTGTCGCTCATCGGTATCATCAAAACCAACTGGTCGAATCAAGACTTGACTCGACTCGACGATTGTTGGCTGGATATCCTGATGTTCAAGCTAGAAAGTTCGATGAACGCGACTTTATGAGTAACTAACCCGGGGCAGAGCTGCTAATTGTTGACAGACTTCGTCGGCTTTGGGTCTCGAACGTCGGTCAAAATTCGTGCACCTAAAAAGATTGATCCCTCATTGCATTAACTTATTACCTTTTGATTATTTGCTGTAGATTCGGTTGGCAGTTTGGTGCCGCCAATTCCGTGACATGACCTTCGAAAAAGCTGTAGAGAAAGAAATGATAACGAAATTCGCCATCAGCTTCGTACTCTGACCATACATACCTGCAAATGGGATTTTTTATGCTTCAGAAAGTTTTAACTTAGTTAACTCAGTGACCCACTTTCATGCATTTAGTCTTTCTTCCGAGTAAAGGTCAAAAACTCGAAACAAACCTTCTCTCTATCATAAGGAAGATAAGGAACCAAATTTAGAGAGATAAGGAACCAAACTCAGAGAGATGAGAAATCAAATTTAGAGAGATAAGGAACCAAATTTAGAGAGATAAGGAACCAAAATTGTAGAGATGAACAAACCTTCTTTCTATCAGCTCCCAAACGACAAGGCCCATAGCATAAATATCATGAAGATGAGATGCCTAAATTCACTAGCTCCGACAAATTTGGGTTTAGACAGTTTAGACAAATGTAGATCTACTGGTGCTAGGGACCAAAGTTAGTCTAACAAACCCGAGCATCGTAGTCAGGTCTTGTCGGACTCATATATCGATAAGTTCCTATAAAAGTCCCGCTCGTCGTCTCAGCCGCCATCTTTGCCAATCCGAAATCGCCGACTTTCAAAGTGAAATCATTTGTGACAAAGATACTAAATATGCATAAACTATGAATTTCCATTTGAAGATGAATGTTCGCCAAACGTGCTATCTTAAACGCAAAAGCTTAGCACGCCACAACACATGATTCCTCAATGAATGACTGAAGTTAAGAATTCGACTAATGGTTGTTAAACTGATCAGAAAGTTTCAGAAAATCAGAAAATTTCGGAAAATCAGAAAATCAGAAAATCAGAATTGTCTTCTTAAATAATTCTTCTCAACCTATAGACCAACTTGGCAGGTTTGATATCACGATGGATGATATTGAAAGTTTGGTACATGTAATCGAGTGCTCCAAAGAGTTGTTGGCTCCACGAGATGACTGAGCGAATGGTGTAAATGATTGTCGAATTAAAGATCACTAAAGAATCGGATTGGTCCTTGAAATCTGAAAGAATAAACTTGTTTTTAGCGATCCTCGATCACAATACTCCATTACGAGGCCGAGTCTAGTCGAGTTTTCGACCTCGTGAATTCGAATCAAATGAACGATATTTGGATGGTCACATTTTTGCAACGCATCGCATTCTGTTTCGTAGTGCCGTCGAGACTTACCATTAGAACATATGACATATTTGATCACCGCTGGCCTAGATAGAAGCTAATTAAATCCTACTACCAACTAGCCATAAGCATCTGATAACATTAAAGTTTTATCTTACAAGGAAAGGTCAACCAGGTGTGGTCAATATCGCGAAGACTTGATATTTTAAAATTTAATCCATTAATTTAAATGTTAATGTTAATGTTAATAGTTAAAAGTAGACTTCAGAAAACAAAACTTAACCAAAACCAAAACCACCAAAACCAAAACAGACCAAAACCAAAACCAAAACGAACCAAAACTCGCCAATATCTCGCGATTGGGAGGAGCTAGCGAAAATCTGTTTGCAGATTTGAAATCAGCGTCCAAAAATCTATCCCATAGGCTATTTGTTGTTTCGAAATTTCGAGGTCGTGTTTTGGTCCTTTTTTCGGCCGCGAGATTTTGGGAAGGGAGAAAAAGTGAAAGCCAAATTTGCATTTTACAATTTAAAATTAAAACATTAAATTAAAACATTAAAATTTGCATTTTCAAATTTAAAATTTACATGTTAATTTATATGCAAATTGAGTTTTGGTTTTGGTTTTGGTTTTGTTTTGGTTTTGTTTTGGTTTTGGTTTTGGTTTTGGTCTGTTTTGGTTTTGGTTTTGGTCTGTTTTGGTTTTGGTTTTGGTTTTGGTCTGTTTTGGTTTTGGTTTTGGTTTTGGTTTTGGTTTTGGTCTGTTTTGGTTTTGGTTTTGGTCTGTTTTGGTTTTGGTTTTGGTTTTGTTTGCCGAACTCTAGTTAAAAGTAAACATTTTTATGAGAAGTAGTTTGAAAAAATGGAAATGGAAAATGGAAATGTATTTGAAATGGAGATCAATTATCTCTAAAAAAGCAAAAGAAAATTATACTGAGAGGGTATGCCTTGTATTCTAGCCGACTACCACTCGGCCACCACCGCTTACCAAAGCCCAAAGCCTCAGGGAAATCGGTTTGTAAATTCGAGGGATGTTTTTCGATGACCTGTTTTCTGCAATTCCATACAAAACTTTGCACGTTTATAACTTTTGACAGAGTTCTGACAGACTGACAGACAACTTCTGCGTTACAAAAAAGGAAAGCAGATTTGAAAACAGCGCAAAATTCTGCCTCGAATCGTATATGGCTCGTGTCATTTGGCCACCACACCCTATTGACCTTTCCTTGTTAGTTCAAAAAAAGCATTGAGTTGAGCAAAATTTTGTTAATTAATCGTTATCATCATCAATTCATCTAAAGTCTCTATGAGTATCCAAATTTAGGCTGAAAACCAACGGGTCGTGTCCAACGAGTTGAAAGACTTGTCCATAGGTTCCATTGCCAATCGATTCCTCTGGATATCCGGACATTCATCACATATAATACATTAAGTAAAAAATCTGAAAAGTTTGAATACTGCAACAGTTTGAACAAAAGTTTGAATACTTTGAATAGTTTCTTAATCTCTTTTGTAAGATTGAAAAGCTGGTGGAATAAGATGGTGGAAATTGAGATTGAGCGAAGATCTAGATCTAGAGCGAAGCAAATCTAGAGCGAAGCAAATCTAGAGCGAAGCAAATCTCGAGCGAAGCAAATCTCGAGCGAAGCAAATCTCGAGCGAAGCAAATCTCGAGCGAAGCAAATCTCGAGCGAAGCAAATCTAGAGCGAAGCGTTTGATTGCCGAATTTGAAGGAAAGTAATCTTTTTTTCAACCTTTTCAGATTTCCTTAAGACATTTTAAACTGAAACCTTCACAAATAAGAAAAGAACTTTTGAAGAAAAGGTCAGTCCGCTTACTCAATCAATCAGCCACCCCTCTTTTTATGTTTATTGAGTTCTCAGGTGTTCACCAAAGATGTCACCTGTTAGAAAAGGAAAGCTTGAGAGACTCTACTTTTGGACCCAGACAAAGTTTTGGGTTTAGATTTCTTTTTCAAAACAAGATCTCCATAAAATTAACCTCCAATCGAGTTATTGGATTGGTGAATTGAAAACTGCCGGCTATTTCGCGGGACTGGCAGATAAAAAAAAACAGCAGCATTGAACGAGTCGAAAGGGGGTTTGGTTACTTCAACATTTCCTCGAATTATTGCGAAAAAATTATGCTTCCAGCTTTTTATTTTTTGGTATTTTTCTTCACTTCTTCTATTGTACTCGACAATCTCCGGGCCACCGGGCCATATTCGTCATGTTGCTTCAGATTGCGAATTCCCTTATTGAAGAACTCTTGATTGAAAGTACAGTCAACTCTCTCTATAATGAAACTCTATATAGCGGAAAGCTCTACAGTCCGCTTCATATTTTTTCATCAAGTTTTGACAAGTTCAAGCCATCTTTAGCATCGTACAATCAATCCTTGGTCCGTTTACTCGGCCGGTTTCTTGCATCCAACGAGTGCTTTGTAATCACTTTCCACATTGTTCCACTTTCCGTTCCCTGGTCTCATCTGAAGGAAGTTTTAAACAGAAATTTGCTTTAAATGACGTTTTGTTATTTTTAGGTTGGTGAATTGAAAACTGCCGGACTTTGAACTAAAATTTATTCAATATAAAACCATAAATCCATTCCAAATAATTGCCATTATTATTGATGACTTCTGCCCATTTTACAGGCAATTTGCGGTTCCTCTTTCGTAGTAGGATTTTGGTTTGTGTGTGAGACAAGTGTGAGAGTCAAAAATGGAGGAATGTCCCAGTTTGAGCACTTTCTTCAAAAGAAACCCATTTTGGCGTCAATAGAAAAGTTGTAGAGAATCAAAAATTAGACTTATAGCCGAATTTCCAAAAAGATACACTTAGTAGTTTCGCTTAAAATGCAAGTTTTGTGAAAATTCGTAAATTTGGCATTTCTTTTTTGGCGTTTCTTGAAAACCAGTTTTTGAATCGTTCTGAAAATTTGGATATAAGCTTAATTTTTGATTCTCTACAACTTTTCCATTGGCACCAAAATGGGTTTCTTTTGAAGAAAGTGCTCAAACTGTCACATATGAAAATAGCCCGCAGTTTTCAATTCACCAACCCAATAAATTAAAAATAATAATAACACTCCGCACCGTCATTCTGGGGATGCGGTACTATTACAGTATTTACGGTAGTTAAAATAAAGTTCAAAACAAAAATCATTCCACTTTCTTTTTAAACATTTTATTGTTTATTATGATAATAGCTGTCCAAAAATAGATTTGTTATCGTTGATTTGATCGTAAAAATTTTCCCTCCACTTTTCATCGAATCTAAACGATTGTGGTGAAAGGAAATGAAAAAAATCACTTCACAAACGGGATTTTATTTCTAATTTTTGGTTTATAACTTATAAACAGCTAATTTGCTACAAAATTCCAATCAAATTGGGTGATCCGTGGGCTCAAAAAAGATAAAAAAGATTGATTTGGCACTGAACCTAACTAGTTTTCTTAATAAGATTTCTTTTTTTTGTTTTCTTCTGGTCTGTCTATTGCTTGGTAAGTTTACGTCTTAACAACAATCAAAAATGAGTAGAAAGATGAATTATGAAAAAAAAGTTATGGCATAGATATCTGGCATAAGTTCTATAAGTCCAAACGTGCCCTAGTCAAGCAAAAGTTTACTTTATTAACATTAAGATTCATTTTCTGGATTGTTTCTCTGTTAAAAATAACAATAACAATATCTGCAAGTGTTACCAAATTTCCAGAAAATATCAACAAAATCCTGCAAGAAAAATCCTGTTTTTGAGGAGATTTTTGTCATTTCCTTTCACCACAATTGTTTAGATCCGATGAAAAGTGGAGGGGGAAATTTTTAAGATCAAATCAACGATAACAAATCTATTTTTCGACAGTCAAAATAAAATGCTTGACAGCCACAATAAATAACAAATTTCGTTTTTCAGTTTCTGTTTTGAACTTTATTTTGAATAGATTGATTTTGACTCGATTGTTTAATTTTTAGCTAATATAGAACTTTTTTTTCAAATTTTCAAATAGTCAAAACCCGAATTTTCCTTTGCTCTATAAATATTTTCATTCAAGAAAATTCAAATGTGTAAAAATACTGGTTTTGATCCAGAAACAACAAAATCGACCGGCTAGATGCGTAAAGTTGAGTTTTAGATGGGCAGAGTTGAGTGCAGGCTTGAAGAGCTGCTCCAGCGAAAGTAAACCTAAACGAAACGATTCTCTGAATGCCGTATTTACTGTAATGGTACTGCGCCTCTAATTGTACTGCGCCTCTAATTGTACTGCGCCTCTAATTGTACTGCGCCTCTAATTGTACTGCGCCTCTAATTGTACTGCGCCTCTAATAGTATTGCGCCTCTAATGGTACTACGCCTCTAATAGTATTGCGCCTCTAATGGTACTACGCCTCTAATGGTACTACGCCTCTAATGGTACTACGCCTCTAATGGTACTACGCCTTTGATAGTACTACGCCTTTGATAGTACTACGCCTTTGATAGTATTACGCCTTTGATAGTACTGCGCCTTTGATAGTACTACGCCTTTGATAGTACTACGCCTTTGATAGTACTACGCCTTTGATAGTACTGCGCCTTTGATAGTACTGCGCCTTTGATAGTACTGCGCCTTTGATAGTACTGCGCCTTTGATAGTACTGCGCCTTTGATAGTACTGCGCCTTTGATAGTACTGCGCCTTTGATAGTACTGCGCCTTTGATAGTACTGCGCCTTTGATAGTACTGCGCCTTTGATAGTACTGCGCCTTTGATAGTACTGCGCCTTTGATAGTACTGCGCCTTTGATAGTACTGCGCCTTTGATAGTACTGCGCCTTTGATAGTACTGCGCCTTTGATAGTACTGCGCCTTTGATAGTACTGCGCCTTTGATAGTACTGCGCCTTTGATAGTACTGCGCCTTTGATAGTACTGCGCCTTTGATAGTACTGCGCCTTTGATAGTACTGCGCCTTTGATAGTACTGCGCCTTTGATAGTACTGCGCCTTTGATAGTACTGCGCCTTTGATAGTACTGCGCCTTTGATAGTACTGCGCCTTTGATAGTACTGCGCCTTTGATAGTACTGCGCCTTTGATAGTACTGCGCCTTTGATAGTACTGCGCCTTTGATAGTACTGCGCCTTTGATAGTACTGCACGCAAATTGGGCTTTATTCAAAGTTATTTTCCATTTGTCGGTATTTAGCAGCCCACTTTTTTGCTAGTTGTTTTTGCTAATTTTGCTAATTTTTGCTAATTGTGCTAATGTTAACAACAAGAGTTTCATTTTCGACTCAAGAAGCTTGTAGAAATAACACAAAACAACTTGACTACTTTTAAACGAGCCAACAACAGGCTAATACTTTTCTACTCATTTACTTCTTGCTTCTTTAGTTTATATTAGGTTGGCGACATTGAAATTTCGTTTTTGAGCAACAACAAAATTTATTCGTAAAAATAAACTAGAAACAGTTAATCAACAATATATTCGCCACAGCTATCAATAATATTTTTCTATCTTTGACGCAAATTATGGATACTCTCTTGAAAGAATTGTGCTGGTTTTGATTGAAAGAAAGCAGAGACCCATTTTTGATCGATTTTGATGTCGTCGATGTTCTGGAACTTGTGACTTTCGAGTGAATGCCGCATACTTCGAAAAAAATGGTATTCAGACGGGACAATATCTGGACTATAAGGCGGATGAACTAGAAGTTTTGCTCAATTGCTGAGACCCAGCCCAATGGCTCAATCTTCTCTTGCGTAATTTTAGCAACGTGAGGACGGGCATTGTCTTGTAACAATCGCACCGTTGTCGGATCAATTCCTTTTGAGCGAAGAACCGCGTCCACGCGATCTAGTTGTTGAACGTAAAGATTTGCATCAACAATCACTTCAAAATTAACACTTCGAAATGAAGCAGGCCTCGGGTATTCCACCAAACCGACAGCATAACTTTTTTTCCGTGAAAATCAGGTTTAGGTATTGGCTTTGAAATTTCATCCGGGTCGATTTCACCCGGGCATTGTCTTATCCTTGTAATATTGTCATAATGAATCCATTTCTTAGCAGAAGTTTCTTAGCAGTTAAAATTGCATCCCAAAATTCACTATTCTTGGAAATTCTAAGCAAATTTCCTGAACAAAGAACTCTGATGGCTTTGCTTGCATCGTTTAGTGATTGTAGAATCCATTTTCCAGCTTTATTGATCTTACCCAATTCATGCAAGTGGTTTTCGATTGTTTTATGATCACAATTAAAATATTTCGCAAGTTCAAATGTAGCCTTTGTCGGATCACTTTCGATTATCTGCTTCAAATCGTTGCTTGCCACAGCCTGTGAGCGGTGTCCTCGTTCCAGATCTTCCAGACTTTCGTCACCCTTTCGAAATCTTTTGAACCAGTTTTGACATTGATGAACAGTGATAACATCTTTCTCAAATGCGTTACAAAGTGATTCATGCGATACAGTTGCGGTTTTTTCATGTTTGAAATTGTACAGCAATAAATGCGAAGTCGATATTTGAGGTCGTCTAGCATCTATAAGATTTTTTTAATTAAAATTCTTCAACTGGAAATAAAGAAAAGAAAGAAAAGCACAATCATAAAGAAAAGAAAGAAAAACACAATAATTATATCTTTAAAACAGAAGAGATTGCGGTGGTAATAGTATCCACAGTGTTAAAATCTGATGAAAAAGCTAACTTCATTCAGATGTTGCGAGCTCATGGTTATACTGCACAATATTAATAAAGACTATAGTTATACTGCAAACAATCAGGTTGTATTTGTTATTCATAATTTTTTAAGCCCTACAATTATATTAGGTTTATTTATTCGATACGTCTTTATTTAGCGAAACGTTCGAAACCATTGATCATCTTAACCATAGTCTTTATTAATATTTAGCGAATTTTCATGAACTGAATTTAGTACGTCTATCAGTTTTGGATTTCTTATTGAATTAAAGAAAATATTGCTATATTTAAAATACTGGTTAATTTTAGCAATTTACTCAATATCTAATCTATTATACAGGGCGACCAAGAATTACCGCAACAACTTTTTGGACAAGTATCTGGGAAATGTCTTATTTATTTCAAAAGTGGCAGTTTTTTGTTGTTGAAGAAGTACGGATATGCGCCAGCTCTCGGGACTCAGAGACCCAGTGGAAGTGATCGAGAGAAGAAGACTCAGCCGGCCACGTAGCCAGAAGAAAAGACGACAGATGGACGATACAGATCGATACGGATCACAGAGTGGCTACCACGAGACCAGAAGAGGCCCATCGGAAGACCAGCAACGAGGTGGAGCACAAGAGTGGCAGAGACGGTCAGAGAAAGGATGGCTAGAATGCAACCACCACCAGCACAAGCAAGTCGAGGACTTCGAACCAGGAACAACCAAGATAGGAAACACTGGACGACGATAGCAAGGGATAGAGAGATGTGGAAGCAGGTTGTGATTTGCGCAAAATAGGAACACCAAAGTGCGAAGACGGATCAAAAAAAAAATTTAATTTCTTGTGCTCTTCTCTAAAAGAAAGTTTTTTTAAGATTTACAAAGCAGTATGCAGAAAAGTATAGTTTCCCAACTTTAACTTTAGTTATGAAATGCTTGAAACAAAAGAACGTCAGCCAATTGTTCTGCTAGGAGAGCTCGAACTCTTCTTTGTCGATATTTGTATCAAAATATGGATAGCCCGGACCATGATGACCTGACCTGGACCTGGACCCGGACCGGACCTGGACCCGGACCGGACCTGGACCCGGACCGGACCTGGACCCGGACCGGACCTGGACCCGGACCGGACCTGGACCCGGACCGGACCTGGACCCGGACCGGACCTGGACCCGGACCGGACCTGGACTCGGACCGGACCTGGACCTGGACCCGGACCGGACCCGGCGGTATATTGTTTGAATAATCCTTTAGAGAAGAGCACAAGAAATTAAATAGAAACAACTTTTCTATACATAAGATTTATTCATTGTTTTGACAATGCTGACAAGTTTTAACAATGCTGACAAATTTTGATAAGTTTAAGCCATCTTTAGCATCGAACAATCAATCCTTGGTCCCTTTACTCGGCCGGTTTCTTGCATCCAACGAGTGCTTTGTAATCACTTTCCACATTGTTCCACTTTCCGTTCCCTGGTCTCATCTGAAAGAAGTTTTAAACAGAAATTTGCTTTAAATGACGTTTTCTTATTAGCAACACCCACATGAACCCATTTCTCGGTGCTCCAGTTCAATGGTTCTCCCGCATCCCAATTCTGGTAATCCAAAGCACTTCCATCACTCCAAACCCATCTATGAGCCACGAGCTTAATGATAAAATCACAATTTTATCATTGTTATAACAAATTTTTGAGTGCTTTGTTAAAACCTTCTAGCAAACCTTCAATCCAATCCAGCAGTCACGATCCATTTCACGAACCAATCCTTAAAAACTCTTTTATTATCTTGAAAAGAAACTTTTGAACCTTGGAAAAAGCGTTGCTCTTCTTTGCTGTGTATCGAGACGAGATCAGCCTCTTCAGCCAAATTTCTGCAAACACGTTCAGCTGTTTCGTATGTGACCTCCGAAAGCTTATAAAAACTCCGAAAATCGGCCTAAACGACATCCTATGAGAGGGGAATTCGCTAGTAAAATGGGCAAAAGCCATCGCAAATAATGGAGACTATTTCGATATTAAACTGCTCTTTTGGTTGACAATAACACTCTTTTGGTTGACAATGTTTTGAGGTTGCGGTCAAGACTTACAAGGGGAAGTCAACTGGCTGAGCCGGGCAAATGCTATGCTACCCATACCATTCAACGCAGAATTTTATGCTGATTCCGAATCTATATTCCGTTTTTCCTAAATGACAATCTACCAGGAGTTATAAGCGTCTAAAGTTTTGTGAAGCCTCTTTTTCCATTTTATAAAGGTGTGACCACAAGAAATATGCACAAAGAACACTAGCACTTCTTCTTGAAAGCACTTCTTGAAAAAAGCAAAAGAAAAACCGAAAGTAGGGATCGAATTTGTAAGATCTCGCTCTGGAAACGAACGCTGTACCACTCGGCCACGGCTGCACAGGTCCGCAAGGAGGCCGCTAAGACACAAATTACCACATTTTCAAAGTCCTAACAAAACTTTAGACGCTTATAACTCCTGGCAGATTGTCATTTAGCAAAAATGGGATATAGATTCGGCATCAGTATAAAATTCTGCCTTGAATGGTATGGGTAGCATAGCATTTGCCCGGCTCAGCCAGTTGACCTTCCCTTGTTCGTTTAAAACCTAATAGAAATTTTCCGCTTGTATGGAACTTATTTGGAGGAACTTCTAGAAAGTCAGCTAGTAATTTATAGTGTCTCCAATTTACCCCAACAAGCGATGCTCGATAGCAGAAATTGTTATAGTGTCTCCATCCAAGTCCACACTTGAAGACGCTCAACAGAGAAATTCCGCTAAAAAACTTTTGCTATTTTCTTTTTCTGCTTTTATGGCTGCTTATTATGCTTATTTATAGCTGCTTTTTTCTAATAAATGACAATTTAACTAAACTAACTTACGTAGTGTCAACTTCATCATCTTCGTCGCTTTCAGGTAAACTAAAACTCTCGGATTGTACAAAAAGCCTATATATTAGGTTGGTGCAAAAGAAACTGCCGATGGGTATCAGCTCTCATTCAGCTCTCAGAAACGAGCGATGCTAACGGCATTATTTTTTTTATGTTTTGTTCGCATATTTGTTTGCTATTTATTTCGACATTTGAATTTTTTGGTTGTTGTTTATTTTATTTAAAAATGCTTATATTTTTATTTAGATCATGGTCGAGCAAAAGTTTGTGCTACGAGCAGGATTACTGTTTAACTTCAAAATTGGAAAGTCTGCTGCCGAATCGCATCGTTCTCTCTGTGCTGCTTTCGGAGATGGCAGTTTGTCTCTTAGGCAGTGTCAGGCTTGGTTTCAACGATTCAGAGAGGGAAACGAGACTTTGGAAGATTACGAGCACGGTTCGAGGCCAGAAGTCGTGAACGAAGCCAAGCTGAGGGACGTTATTCAGGCCGATCCATGCCAATCTGCTCGGGATCTTGCGAAAACATTCCATTGTGATCATGTCACCATCGAACGTCATCTTTTTTTGAATTTACCATCAAATCGGCAGTTTCTTTTGCACCACCCTAATAGTATTTTCTCTAATAGTAGTGCACCCCGGCGAGCCGAGTTGGCGACTATTTTAGTTGGTGACTGGTTTCCAAGCTTTTGCAGAAGCTCAACACTCTAATCCCCCACTAGATCTCATCGTCAGCTACATTTTCTGACCCCACTTCGATAGGTTCTGATAAGCGGTTCTCGAGATTTCGAGCAATTTAGGCGACGCTCACGGTGCACTACTATTAGAGAGAATACGGTAGTTGAATACCTTGTTGTTGGTTTTGAATGCAATTCCTTCGTTGACTCCAAATTTTCGATTCGAGAATGCAGTTTCTTGCTAAAATTTTATAGTAATATCGATGCTAACAACCCACAGATCTTCTCTTTTCAACTCGTCGATCTCTGCCTGGAGATTTTTGCTAAAATTTGAAAATGTCTAATTTTTTTGAAACTTTCATTGCTAACTTACAGCTTTCCATTCATTGATTCAATTTTTTCCTCATCAACATCAACTTTTGATTGGAGTTTGGTACTAAAAATTGCTGCTTGATATTTAAATTTTAAAAGGGAGTGGCACTTTTAGGTAGCTTTCCGATCAAAATTGCTATAATATAGGTTAAAATGATTAAAATATGCCTAGAAACAATAAAAATTATCTGGCTGGAGTCATTTGGGATCTACCTAAGTTTGGAATAGTTAAAATAGCTTGAAATCTACTTTATCCAACCGTTTTGACTTAGTTATTTTTTTGGAAAAAGAAAAAAAAGTGTCGCCAGCAAAGCAACAAAATTTTCTATTGCATTTTTAGTTTTGAACTATTTTTTTTGATTTGCGTGCTATTTTTTATTCTTCGAATTTTAACTTGCAAAATAAAACTCTTTATTTAGTGATGAAGATGTCGAGATGAAGAGGAGACAATTGACGAAGATGAAGTGCCGAAATTTGTTCTAGTCGAGTTCACAGAACCGGAAAAATCATTACAAAGATGTCAAAACTGTGAAAAGTTACTAGGAGGAGAAAACGGGCAACGTACGGGAAACGCAAGATCGATTGTGTGAACAAAACGAGAAACCATTTGACGGCAATCATACGATGCGTACTCACAAATGATCCACGGAACCGCCGGTCTACTCAAGAGTACATTCCTCCTCAAGAATTCCTCAAGAAACAAAAATAACGTGTTGAAACATGGTCGTGTCTGCGTGCCTGAGGCAATCAACGAATTGACGAATTGCCGAAATTTCTTCTAGTCGAGTTCAGTTAAAACAGTTAAAAGGAAAGGGCACTTGATGAAAACTGGAAAAGAAATCTAGTTGAAAAATCTCTAATTACGAAGGAAAACTATGGTCCCAGGCTTTCCTCTATTTCATCTGCGGACATTGATGATCAACCAGTAAACGCATCAGCGGCATTGATGATCAACCAGTAAACGCTTCAGCGGCATTGATGATCAACCAGTAAACCCATCTGCCGCATTGATGATCAACGAGTCAAAGTTTTGACAATCTTCTAAATCTCAGCGATAATGACGACGAAATAGAAGAATAAAACCTTTGATTTATCAAGCTGTTTTTTGTTGTAATATCCCGTATCTTATTTTTTTTCGGTGCACTATTTTGTCTTTATGTCTAAAAATCTTTATTTAGTGGCGAAGATGTCGAGATGAAGAGGAGACAATTGCCGAATTGCCGAAACTTGTTCTAGTCGAGTTCACGGAACCGGAAAAATCATTACAAAGATGTCAAAACTGTGAAAAGTTACTAGGAGGAGAAAATGTACGGGAAACGCAAAATCGATTGTGTGAATAAAACGAGAAGCCATACGATGCGCAACGCACAAATGATCCATCCACGGAACCGCCGGTCTACTCAAGAGTACATTCCTGGAACCAAAACAAGATGTGGAAAAATGGTCGTGTCTGCGGCGGCTTAACTCGCTCCAATTAGATATACGGAATTGTCCACTTTCCACAAAACTAAAACTTTAACCTATATGTATTGTAGCAATTTTCATCGAGAACCGGTCCTAAAGTGCATTAAATTAAATTTCACTTCAACTCCTGGTAGACATGGCTTTCATGTTTCATTTTCTGAAGTTTCTCCTGAAGTCGATCACTAAAATTATTGTTGTTAAAGCAACTAAACTAATAAACTAACTTCTCCAGTCGACAAATTGTTAACAAGTCGGTAGTGCTATTTGATAGATGAGGATCTCTAAAAAAACTTTGAATTTATTCATTTACTTGCTAACTTTGACAAAAAGTTGGGATAGGCTACTTTGCGCCAAATTTTTTGCGCAACTGGGCCATTTGCGCAACTAGGTCTTTTGCGCAACTCGCCATAAATTTCTTCTAAGTCGGCCAATCTTTATGGTTTTGGTGTCATTTTGCTACACTTATTGAGATATACAAAATGAAACCAAAATCATAAAGATTGGCTTACTTAGAAGAAAGTTATGGCGAGTTGCGCAAATGACCCTGTTGCGCAAATGATCCAGTTGCGCAAATGACCCTGTTGCGCAAATGACCCTGTTACGCAAATAAAATGGCGGAAATTAGCCTACCCCAAAAAGCTTATACAATGGTGGAAAAAAATTGCACTCTCGAAAAAATCCTGGTTTTTGGCAAAAAAAAAGTCGACACATTTAACAGCGTCGTCATTTGTTGTTGTTCGTGATTTTAGTTGTTTAAGTTTTCTTGCAGACTAGTGTTCTTAAAAATAAAAAGAAAAGTGTATTCAATGGTGTCTTGTTTTTTTTAGATGGGAGTTTGCTAAAAAAAGGAGTGGAAAAAGAATTGAACCGTTTTGAATCTTTAACCCTTTTTTTCTTGCCTCTTTCTTTACATTTTATAATGTTCTTAATTTAGATGCCGAGAAGGAAACAGTTGCACGCGAACGAAGAAGAGAATCCCCAAAGCTTGAAGGATTGGACTCAACCATGACTCAACCATGACTCAACCATGACTCAACCAGGACTCAACCAGGACTCAACCATGACATCAAACGATTGTTTGGCGTATCGAATTTCACTGTGAATAGGATTTGCAAACGATATTTTTAAACTGGCAACGTGAAGAGAAAGACAGGCAGTGATCGCCCACGCAAAATAACGAAGGATCAAGAGCCCTGCACAAATACCATTTTCTATCTCCCACTCGCACGGCTACCGATGGGAAATTGTTCTTCAAACGGAGATTTGGAATCAATGTAACCACAAGCACTGTGCAAAATCAACTCAAAACATTTGGAGTGTACCGAACCGTTGATGCGCAAGCGCAAATGCGCTCAAACCGTTGATGCTCAAATGCGAAGGCGCTCAAACCATTGATGAATCTACGACACAGGCAGCACCGATTACAGTTTGAGTTAAAACATCAACACTGGTCAATTGAGAGCTGGAAGCATTACTCTTTAGTGACGAGTGCAAATTCTATATTTTCCAATACGAATGGCTATCATATGATCAAAAGATCGTTTGGAGCTCGATATCGACTCAAATTCACCAGGCCAACAGTCAACTTTAATGTAATGTGCTGGGGAAGCTTTGCCACTCATTCATTCCTCGCGTTCGAATTGATGGAATCATGGATGGACCAAAATATAGTTAAATATTAAAGGACTTGATGCTTTCGTATGCTCGTGCAAATATGGGACTCTCCCTGGTTATTTCAACAAGATAACGAACCAAAACATACAAGAGAACTGATGATGGGCCGAAAAGTTAAGATTTCGAATCATCGTTTTGTTCATTTTCCGGGCTGGTTTCGAATCAATGAGGTTTTTCTTTTACTAAAACCGCCTTACTCTCTTGCCATATGCAACCCTATCTCTATTGCAACCCGATTGAACATTTGTGGGCAAATGTTAAACGAGAATTGCGTGGCTACGAGTTTTCTTCGAAGGATGTGGTTTGGGACAAGGTGCGAGAGATTTGAAAGTCGACTTCGCCACGAAGACTCGAGAAATGCAAGTTGCAGGTTGCAAGTATGCAAAATCGAATGAAAGAGATCATTAAAGCTCAAGGAGGACCGACTAGATACTGAAGTTAAGCTTTTTGTCCGCGCTGCAATTTTTCCCCGCCTTTTCTGGGTGTTTTTTTGTTATTGATAGTTAATGTACATAAAAATGTTTCAAAACTCAAGTAAATTATATCAGGCTAGCTGCACCTAGTTGTCTATTGCATTTAAGTCATTTCGTTGAAAAGGTTTTCTAAAAATATTAGGTATTTACGATTGGCCTGGTTGCACAGGGTGCAATTTTTTTCCACCACTGTATTTAATAGTTATTTTTGCATTTAAAGCCAAATCTTTTTAGCTGACACAGAAAATGGTTTCGTGACGAGGAACTTACTGTTCAGTTGAGCTGAAAATTGAAGCTGCTGTTCCACAAATGAGCAACATAATTGACACCGAAAGCATCATGAATAAAAGTTTCATGTCAATGAAACTTTGTAAATGACTGGGCTTGACCCTTTTTAAGCTTCTCCTTTCAATTACTTGTAAAAGGAAACTCTTTCTTTGATTAAAAAGCAACTTTTCTTAATAAAACTGTTAGTTTGATTGCGGAAGAAAACGACCAAAAACCCACAAATCAGAAAAAAACTTTGCAACAGAGGTTGATTTAACCTCTGTTGCAAAGCAAAGTGCTTCTTCCGAGTCAAAGATTCTCTCTTTTGCAATACGATTTCTCTTTTGCACTCCCCGATGAGTGAGGGGTCACCCCTGAGCTATCTTGAGATCACCCTGATCTCAAGCTCTGACGAAGACACGCCACCGTCTCAGGGAGCCTATGCCCTGAGTCTCCGAGTTTTAGAGTCTTTGCTTTGCAACATTCTTAGGCCTCGTCATTTTGCTATCTGGAAAATCAAAAAATTAGTAAATTAAAGAAAAACAACGAAAAAAGAAATGAAGTAAAAAAACAAGAAAAATATTTATTTCGTCGAAATCTTGGGTTGGCGAATTGAAAACTGCGAGACTTTGAACTAAAATTTATTCAACATAAAACCATCAATTCATTCCAAATAATTTCCATTATTATTGACGACTTCTGCCCATTTTACAGGCAATTTGCGGATTCCTCTTTCGTGGTAGGATTTTGGTTTGTGTGTGAGACAAGTGTGAGATTCGAAAATGGAGGACTGGAGACTCAAAAATGGAGGAATTTCCCAGTTTGAGCATTTCAAAAGATACCCATTTTGGTGTCAACAGAAGAGTTGTAGAGAATCAAAAATTAGACTTATAGCCAAATTTCCAAAAAGATACACTTAGTAGTTTCGCTTAAAATGCAAGTTTTGTGGAAATTCGTAAATTTGTAAATGTAAATTTGGCATTTCTTGCGAACCAGTTTTTGAATCGTTCTGAAAATTTGGATATAAGCTTAATTTTTGATTCTTCTTCTTTCTTTTCCATTTCTTTTCCATTGACACCAAAATGGGTTTCTTTTGAAGAAAGTGCTCAAACTGGGACATATGACAATAGCCGGCAGTTTTCAATTCACCAACCCAATATTTCCATTGTTTTACAATCGAATTTATCTTCGTCGACAAGTTTTCAAGAAAATTACAAAGCTTATAAAAGCGGTCAATAATTTCCACGCACCCTTAAGATTTGTAGTGTTTTTTAATAAAAAAGCAAGATGACTGCTGGATCGTTATAACAAAATTCTATTGTAAGACTCTTTCACACCCAGATACAGTACTGGACAATGAAATATCATATTTGAAAAACGATCGTCAATTTCCCGCGTCTGTAACTCCCTTGTCTTTGAGTCTAAACTATTAGTGTTATGCATTTTCTGAAAGCTCTTTTCAAGGGCTACACAATGGTAATATTAATATTTAGAAATACGGTAAAGACAAGGGAGTTACAGACGCGCGAAAGTGACGATCGTTTTTCAAATATGATATTTCATTGTCCAGTAGTGTACCTATCATAAGCTTTGAAGTTTCAATCATCGTGTTGGCAAATGTCTGGCAAAAAACAACCGCTTTTCAATTTATTGTCACCAATTCTTGTGAATGGCTTTCGCGAATCCAAGTCTCAACTTCTCGAGGTCATGCACAATACAGTACTCCCTAAAGAAGGGAACTCCCAGAACTCCACCGACTATCACATCTGCGGCACATCTGTAACAATTGTTGACCCGGCATTCAAGCTAAAAGCTCACATTTCTCCTCCAGTTTCCCGAAGATAGTTCTTGGCTTTAATGGTGTAAACTTTCCCAGCGATTTTCACTTCAATGGGAATATTTGTTGAGCAATCTGCATAATATTGGAATTTGTCAAACTAAAAGCATTTGATTCATGAAAATAAACGACACTCACCGTTTTTGCATTAGCCTTTTTGACCCATTCATCGAAGATCTCTTGTGGGACGGCCAAAACCGGAGCTCCAGTGTCAGCCAGAACAATTCCCGCCTCATTCACGGAAATGTCGTTCATTTTCCAGCCGTCCACCTTAAAAGTTTAATAGAGCAATTCTCTTTGAAAGTTTATTAGAGTAATCTAGTCGTCAGTTACCGTAAATACTGTAATAGTACCTCACCTCCCTCGTACAGTCGCGTAGTCGCAAAAGTTTTTTAGCATTTCATTTTTTTCAAAGCGCCCGTACTTTCAAAAAATGTGTCTTTGGTATCAAAAAATAGCTGAAATTCAGGGCTATTTTTTGATACCTAAGCGCGCATTGTAGCATAAACCAGTGTCTAGAAAAACTCGTTTAAAGCTAGACTACGCAATACTCCGCACCGTCATTATGGGGGTGGGGTACTATTGCAGTATTTACGCTATGTTCTCTAGAGAAAATAAATCTACTTCAGAACATCTGTTATTTGAATATTATTGTTGAACTTTGTTGAACTTTGTTGAGCTTTTTTTGAACTTTTTGTTGAACTTTTTGTTGACTTACGAAACCGAACATCAATTTCTATAAAACACTCAAGATACCTTAATGTTATATCGATCTTTTGCAGCCATTGGCACCCAATGAATTTCCTTTTCGCAATTTTTTGTGTCAACGCCACCCCAAGTGATCTGACCACCTTTGACTCCATCTTTGTGACCACGATGCTCCAAGAAAATCGTAAAAATCTTCTTCAGGTACCCTAAAGAGAGGTGAAATGGAAATATTATAGTATAAAATTATTCAACTTTATAAAGTTTGCTTTCAAAAACTTGTCAGAACTTTTTCAGTGAACGCTTGCAAATACCAATGAAGTACTGACCGTGAGTTTCATACAAAACTGGTTTAGTGTTGCCCATAAACGAGTAATACGGCGAAAGGCCAAGGATTCCATCAAAACGGATTGGCAAATATGGAATACCCACTTCAAAATGGTTAGCGAGACCTATTTGAGTGTACGGTAGTGCTAGAGGGTTGTTGCTCAAAGCACCAATCTGAAAAGAATATGGGACATTTGATACGCGCCCCGCCTCTTTTGCCATTGAACCAACTTTGATCTCAAATTTCATAGTCTTTGGCTGTGCAATTTAAATGTTCTTAATATCATTGGACGCGCCAAGGCTTTCTCTATCGATTGGTACAAAAACTATTGAAATTGGACAGCCCAACGCCAAGATATTTGAGCTCAAAGTTAGATTGCCAATGGCAAAAGGGGCGGCGCGCGTTATGTTCAACCTTTTATGCGCGCCCCGCCCCCTTTGCCATTGAGCCAACTTTGAGCTCAAAGATCTTGGCGTTGGGCTGTCCCATTTAAATAGTTTTTGTACCAATCGACAGAGAAAGACTAGGCGCATCCAATGATATTAAGAATAACTAAATTGGACAGCCCAACACCAAGATATTTGAGTTCAAAGTTGGATTGCCAATGGCAAAAGAGGCGAGGTGGGTATAAAATGTCCGATAGTCATCTAAAAACAACAAAAAAATTGATTATCTACGTAAATTGCTTACCGTGATTGTGTCATTTCCATAAACCCCAGACGCAGATCCAGCACCATACCCTGTTATCAGGTCATCGCCCTGTTCCTTGAAAGTGGTCGACTTTGTTGGATCGAAATGATGAGTACGGGCACAAGCGAGTCTCAAATGAGTAAATGTTTTTAAAGAAGCTAATTTTAAAACTGTTAAAGAATAATTTTTACAGAATGAATTAACTATTTCTCGATGGATCTCATTGGGACCAAAATAAAGTCTATTTTGAGCCATAAAAACACAAAAATGAACCCGAACAACTTCTTAGACTTTTAAGCCGAACTCGTAGCCTATTTCAAAGTTCATATGCGTAAGGATTTGTGGAACTGATGGCACTCACTTGGTGCAATTTGTTGACGGAACCCAGAACCATCCAGAGCCGGTGTCGAACAACATATTGAACTCTTGTGGAGGGGTACCAACAGTGATTCTGCCCAAATACTCATAGTCATCGAAATCGAGGAGCTAAAATTGTGTGCTGACTAGTGAGTAAAGTAAAAGACAACGAGACAGTAGATAATCATGTAATAATTATTTAAAGGTGGGGTGAGAATCGAGGCCGAAATTTTTTTTGGCCGATAACTATCATTTTGGTTTTGATTTGATGCTTTGTATACCAAAAATGACAGAAACAAATCGTCTGATTGATTTCTTGCCATATTCAGCAAACTTTTGTTGATGAACATCTCCTTCCGTGGCAGATCTTCATCAACAAAAGGTTTGAACCTGTCAACGTAAAAGTGGCAAGCCACTTCCCTCGCAGAAAATTAGAATCATTTCTTTTTTGGACTTTTAATTCGAGATGGGTTCAAGCGAAGTTGTTGAAGAGGATAAATCGACGTACATTGTTGAGACGTTGTACGTTGTACGTCATTGTTGAGTTATTACAATTAGAAATTTTTGCTTCAACATGGCCATATTTGCGAGAGAATTCGGGAGCACATGGCCATATTTGCGAGAGGCCAAAGTAAAGGAAAGTCGAGAACAATCAATTGAGCAGGAAATTGAACTTGCCTCACAGCTGTAATTCGATGTTCATTTCATAAAAAGTTCCCATAAAAATGGGACCAATCAGTGAAAAATGGAAACGACACATTAGCCTTTAGATTTAGAGCACAAAAAGGCTTCACAAAACTCAAAATTAATTCTCAAAACAGTAATTCTGTTGGGTATTGTTATAAAGGTTTGACTGTATTTGTTTATAGCTTAATTTTTTTGGTTATTGTTTTATCTATTAGGTACACGCATAAGAAATGCGGATTTCAACATTTTCATAAATTTCCAACGATAGAAACCTGATATTGATGAATATAACCTGATATCGTTATATACTATTTGAAAGTTGTAAATATCCTCTACAAGATAGGCTAAAACGTGTTTCAATTGTTCGAACCATTGAAGAAATTTCGAGGGCGAAATGCGAGTGACCAAAAAAGGAATCGAGTCACTTTAGGGACAAGTTTAGTATGGTCAAAATAGGGTTAGCTTCCCAAAATTGAAGATTTAAAAAAAAAGGATAACTATTGGGTTGGGGAGAATGAGTCGGCGCCGAAAATCAAAGAAATTTCTAAAACTTATAGCAGACTTTGTCAAATGATATGCGTTTGATATCCGTAGAAGGGTAACTAATTCTCTACAAAATAATATTTAAAAGAGAACTCAAACAGCGCCTCAACTCAACAAAGGATCATTTTTTCACAAAATCGATAAACTGTCATCTAGAGTAAACGGTTGGAGGGATCTTCCTGAAAATTTGGTAACTTATGTAATTGAGTGTGCTCTATCTTTTTATATAAACACCAAAGGAGGTTTATGTGGAAGAAACTGTTCAAGCAATGAGCCGGACTTTTTGTCATTTTGATTAGCTGTGTTTGGGAATCCATAAAATCCCAAAAAAGAAAAGCTTTGTGGAATCTCTCAAAAGCCATTTTGTAAAGAAATAGTGGACCATTTTGATGAAACAAAACGTGTATTTAAAGAAGGTTTTATGGGTGCAAAAAGTTTCTTTAAATTTCGGCGCCGACTCATTCTCCCAAACCCAATATATATGAATTCATAAGAAAAGTCTAACGGAAATGTATTTACAGAAATTTATTTAGAGCGTAAGTTCAAAACCCTCAAAATTGTCAAAAAACCGGCTTTTTCACAAAAAAGAAAAATTATTGTAAAAACAAAGTTTTCCCATGAAATGATCCCAACTCTTAATTATTTTAAATGATATTTTTGGGGCGCTCATTTTCAGATTTGGTTCATATATTATAAAGAGTAGGTTCGCATGCGGCTCAGATTTGGTTCAGATTTGGTAGGTCATTTTCCACTATATAGTCAAAACCGAACTCTAGTGAAAGTGGGGTTTTCAAAGAGTGCCCTTTTTTTTGGTCACTCGTATTTCGCCCTCGAAATTTCTTCAAATGGTTCGATCAATTGAAACACGTTTTAGCCTATTTTGTAGAGGAGATTTACAGAATTTACGGAATTTACAACTTTCAAATAGTTTAGAACATTCATCGATATCAGGTTCTTATCGTTGGAAATTTATGAAAATGTTGAAATTCGCATTTCTTATGCATGTACCTAATAGTTTGATTTTAGCGATTCCACCACATGTAATTGGTGATCGCAAGTCAGCGGCAAGATCGCGGATCGGACATCTATGAAAATCAGCGAATAATTTTTTAAATGTGGAAATCAACCGATTTGTTTCTGCCATTTTTGATATAAAAAGCATCAAATACATAAAAACAAAATGATAGTTATTGGCGAAAACAAAATTTTTCACTTGGAATCAGCCTCAGCTGTGATTTGAGTTCAACAATCAGCAACTTTTAAACAAACGATTTCTTTTCCTTGCCCACATATCATATTCAAATTCTTGAACTTACTCTGTCGACAATTCGATTGTCACTTTTCATAGAAAAGTACTGAGCACGTATCTGTTGTTTTTTCTGGCTAAACTATGATCAAAAGAAAAACAATAAAACTAGTATAATACCTGTACTTTTGATAAGTTCTAGCTTTCATCATTTTGATCTTCGGGCTCTCGTGCCATGTTAATTCCTGAACGAATACTTCCGAGAGGCCAAGTGTGGCCACAGTGGTCAGTAGAAGCAAAGTTTTCATTCTGAAAAATTTTCTAACTCAAAAGATAAGCAATTAAAAAAACTTGATTTTCTTCATGCAACTTTCACAGTATTTATAAGAGCAGATTAACAATTGGCAACAATTCTTTTTGAAATTTTCATTTGAAATCGACTCCATTTGAATCGTTTTCAGTATCTCAATGAAAGTTGATGTCATCAGTTGAATGAATTGAAAGGAATTGAAAAGAATTGAAAGGAATTGAAAGTTTCTGTTGATGATCTTTCTTTTAAAATGAAACTTATTTTAAACTTATTGAAAAATCATATGAGCCAGTTCTTTTTGTAAAACTTTGACAACCTTTTCAATTTTTGTTTTGAATCAAAAATTTTCATTGAAATTGAAAAAAGGTAGTGATTCAAGAAATGTCGAAAAGTTTACATGCAAATGGTTGTCGCATGAAAAAGTGATGTTTATTGGTTAGTTGATAACAAAGTTGTTAACAAAGTTGATAACAACCCAGAGTACTATCAGTGAGAATACAGTAACTATTACCAAAACGATAACAGTACAATAAAATTGATCAAATTGAGCAACTGAAAAACGATTTGAAGTATGATTGTCTTTGAGGTGAATAGGCGTCTCATCTCCGATTGGATACCTCTGTAATTAGTAGTAAGTAACAGCGATTCACCTTAACTCAAAATTTTCTTCACCTTTCTTTGGCTTTTGTGGCCATTCGACTTCTCGGCAAAATGACAACCATCACACAGCCAGCGCCGATTACGAACACGTCGGTTATCACGTAGATCCCTTGAAATCAGCCAAATAACAGAATGAAACGACCGAGTTAATGTCTATATCTTATCAGCTTTCATTTTACTCATTTTTCATTTTTTGAAGAGTGTCAGGTTTTGATTGCTATCTCACACATCTGAACGGTCAGACATGGGCATGACGTTTTGTATCAATAATATCGATAAGCTGGTTCCTACCTATCACTGGAAAGCTGGACGTTTTCGGAATTTGATTGGAGACTAATTCGAGAAGAACACTCATCGACATCATTGTCGTTAAACCGAGAGAAAGCTGAAATGAAAATACGATTATTCTAAAGTTTTCCGAATCTAGAGTATCCAGTTCGCTTACTTTCAGCAATTTCTCATCGACACTCGTTGAAACCCAAAAAAGTCCAATAATTGAAAGGAAAGTTAGTAAAAATGCTGGCACTGCGATCACCCAAATGTAGAAATTAGGGATTCGTTTATAAACAAACGTGTAAAAAGCCTGAAAAGAGTTTTTTTTAAAGATAGATAAATGACTTTACATATTCAAAAGCGAAATCCGAGTAGGTGATGATCCTCTTCCCAGCCGAGATATTCAGAATCGTCCACTCAGCGTTTCCCTAAATATTACAAAGTCAACGCATAAAAGAAACAAATCAACTGGATAACTTAAATGTATTGTAAGTTATTGGAATTGTAAGTTATTCGATTGAATTTGTGCCTTTCCTTTTGCACTAATTCGAATCGGTGAAGAAGCCTACTAAACTTTTAAATCTAAACATTACTCCGAACATTACTCTCTAAACCTGAGAGTCGAAATCATTGTAGATCATCACATCCATTGTTGCCAGAGAAATGTCGTAATTGTAAACAACAAAACCAACTTGACATGTTTGAGTATCAAAAGGGAAATGGCCCAACTGAAAATGAAAGTTGAGTGAGAGATTAGTTTGATAACCAATAAAAGAGCTCAAATAAATGCAAAATCAAAACATTACATTCATTGAACAGGAAAGGCTGACATAGAGTGTCCGATCCATGTAAAGACTCCCATCGTACCTCAACTCGATCTGCTTTTGGTAAATAGGTACCACTTCTTCGATCGATTTCCTATAAACTTCTGAATAATTGAGGCTTATTGAATAAAACATCGTCTATGAGATTAGCTCAATGATTCTATGGAAAAGACAACTCTCACGCATTGCAGATGCTATTCTCGGGCAACCAAATCGAGTCCATTTGAAGCCAAATTTTGCTCACACCACCAAAATCGTCGGGATTCCATTGAAAACGTGGATCTGTCCATTCCTAAGACTTGAATTTTCTCACAAATCGATTATTTTAAAGTTTTGTGTTAATCTGAGGTCTGTTAATCGGTTAACGATTCAAAGTTTTAAAGTCTTGAGAACAAATGGTCGATCTGAGGTCATATTGTTTAAACTTTCGCTTTTTTCAAACTCACAAAGCCAAACTCGAAAAGTTGATCGATTTCTTGACTCTGTGCGGCCTGAAAGTTCTCTACTTGATAAAATTATGCATCAATCTCTGCTCACCAGTTCAATCACTTTAACATATGCTAAAGTGATGTTCACGTTGAAGCGTGGAACCTCTTGAGCTAAAAATTAGTATTTTTGAATACACAAATTTCTAATTTAAACACAAACCTGTTAGATTGTATGGTTGAAGAGAGTAGATTGGTGAAAGCTCTCGTTTATAGGCTCTTCTCTCGAAAAGCTCAAAGTACAATCGTTGAGTGTTCCCATAAAAGACACCAAGCTTTTCTAAAAGGAACTTTAAGTACTTACCATAAAAGATGTAATACAGTGTGGTGCAAAACTATACGCCCGCTAAATTAAATTTTCGGCGGCTCCAGTGCCAGTGACAAAAAAATCAAAGCGTAGTTAGATTCAGGAGCAAAAATAACTCTTAAACCCCAAAAATCGTCAACATAGCATAAATAGGGAAAATATAACGGCCAAAGAACGAAAATTCACCCGGTGTAAACCCAGACGCCACCCCCCAAGAGACGCCACCCCCCAAGAGACGCCACCCCCCAAGAGACGCCACCCCCCAAGAGACGCCACCCCCCAAGAGACGCCACCCCCCAAGAGACGCCACGCAAACAAATTTTATTGGTTTCAGATCATCTACACAGACGAGAAAAAGTTCAACCTGGATGGGCCTGATGGTGGACACTCTTATTGGCGTGACTTGCGCAAGGGTCCATTACTGTTCTCAAAGCGAAACTTCGGCGGAGGTTCGGTGATGTGTTGGGGCGCCTTCTCATCTCATGTAAAACTGGAAATCGTCTTTGCCATATCCAAGATGAACTCACAAGATTACATCGATGTGCTCGAGGCCAACCTTCTTTCATATCTGCAAAGTCTTCCACAACACCAACTCACGCTACAGCAAGACAACGCCAGCATCCAAGTCATGGCTTCAGTCAAAACAAGTGCATTTTCTGGATTGGCCTGTGTGCTCCCCCGATCTCAAACCCATTGAGGATCTGTGGGGAATGCTTGCTCGTCGAGTTTATGGCAATTCCACACAATACGCAAATGTTCAAGCGCTCAAAGATGCCATGGCCCGCGAGTGGAATGCCATACCAAGAAGCACCATCAAGAAGCTAGTTGCCAGCATGTTAAATCAAATATTTGACGTGATCAGTCGTCAGGGACAGACAACAAAACATTAAACTGTTATTGTTATAATTAAACCTTGTTAAAAATTGAATAAAAAGCAACAACGACACCAAAATTTGGGGAGTGGCGTATGGTTTTGCACCGGGTGAATTTTCGTTACTTGATTTCGCAAATAATTGAAAAGTGTTTCTTTAATGAATACCTTGTATTTTCCAGTTTTGGTCATGTAAATGGCAAAAGGTACTATCAAAAAATAATGACCCCTCTAATATTGGGTTAGTGCGCATGCAGTGACCGACTTATTCACTATATAAGGCGTAACTCATCAGCCATCTTACCAATTGAGCGCAAATTTTTAGAGAATATTTAGTCATTACTTGCTCATTATATGACAAATTTTCAAAGCAATTGGAACATTTAGGACAAAGATTTGAACTCAAAAAAATATTTTTTCTCTGATTTTTCTGAATTTAAAAGATGATTGCGGTTTTAATATCTCTAAAAGTTTCAGCAAGATACGCAAATTTGCCGTTGAGATATGCACGCTTATAAGCGTCGGATAAAGCATGTGCATTAATCCAATAGTAGCTTTAATAGTGATCTCCGTAGAAGGTCAGTACCAAATTTACTTGTTTCTTGCTTCAGTTGGCGTTAGTTTTTCACTGACCGTTTCCAACAATTTCTGTCCAGTTCAAAGTGGTGTCTTGTTGATTTGTGACGTCGAAAATTGTTGTGAAAACAAGAGTTAATTGAAAAGAGAGATGGCAGTTTATTTGCATCGAATTCTGAATAATTTATTGGAATTCTGAATAATTTATTGGAATTCTGAATAATTTATTGGAATTTTTCTTTCTTTCAGTTTTTCCTTGAATACTTAGTGTTCCTAGATAGCAAACACTTCAAATTCCCCTCAAAGCGATTCTTTTTAAAATACGAGAAGGATTTTTTAAGAAGAAGGAAAGCATAATCGAGCATAAAAGGGTTTTTCAGCTCTTTCAGGTTTTATGATAATTTACTTTGAAATTTAAGAATTTAGATTTTTGAACGTGTCAACGGAAAAGTGGAAAGCCACTTCCCTCGCAGAAAATTAGAAACATTTCTTCTTTGGACTTTTGATTCGAGGTGGGTTCAAGCAAAGTTATTGAAGATGGTAAACCGACATACGTCATTGTTGAGTTATCACAATTGAATTTTTTGCTGCAACATTGCCATATTTGCGGGATCATTGCTTTGCTTGGCTTTGGATCATTTTGCGAGTCAATCGCAAATTCTTTAATCGCTTTTCTCGAATCCAATTGGCAAGCTCGTTTTCGGAAGCTCCGTCCTTCAATTTCCGACCACCACCTTCAAGGCGCTTCAATCGTTTATTCTTTTTGTTTCACAAGATCGTCCTTTTGCTTACACCACTGGAGAACATTTTGGCGATGAACACCGGACCTTCTAGCGGCGGCTGATTTGTCCATCTTGTCCGCAAAAGCGACAACCATAGGCTTGGTCTTGACGTCAAAACAGCGCTTTTTCTTCGACTCCATCTCGGATGGGTCACTTTGCGTTTTCGAGAAGTGTTTATGATCTTCAATAACTTCGAGAAGGTTCCTCATCAGGCTTCTCTTCGCCAGTGGCCGATATGTTGTCAGCAATGTCGGTTTCATTTGCATCCAAGTTTATTTCATCTTCAGGCACGAGAAAATCCTCTTTGTATTGAGTGTTCCAATCTCGAGCATCCTTTTCGAATTGATAGTGTTCTTGCTTTGTACGAAATTTTTGCAATTGTTTGTCGGAATCGCCGTCGAGTTCCATTTCTAAAAAAATCAAACGTTGAAAAGAATAAGAAAATGCTTGTAAATCAATAAAAGAAGGGTAATGGGTTATAGCCACCGCATATTTTTCCACCATGTGCTTAAATGTGTGGTGGGTAAACCCATAAGTACCAAAAGAAGTAGTAGCAATATGTCAAAAAGTTCAACATCAACTTCTTTCCATGCAGACCAGGCTTTGACGTGCTTGCTTTGGTGATAGCCATTGGTGTTTGCACTTAACGTTATCATATAACATCCACGTTTCATCAGAAGTAACAATTGATTTGAACAAGTGTTCATACGGGCAATTTTGTGATTGAGGGTCAGTTCATGTGGGACCCATTTTCCGCATCTGTTTCGCTTTTCAATCAAATGTAAATGTTCTTCAATGGTGCTCATGTTCAATGGTAATGTTCAATGGTAATGTTCAATGGTAATTATGGGTCACGCTGTAGCATCCAAATCACTGAATTTTTGAATACTCTGTACTGTTTTCTGGGTTCTTTTCTGAAAAACGCACATCTTTTCTTCTAGAATGTTTTTTTTTCTAGTAAACTGATGAAATTCTAATAGTAATCCATAAATTTGACTATACAGGGTGCGGCAAAAGTTCGGAGCCGCTATGAAAACATTGCAGAAAATTTAGCTCACGCTTTTTTTTGTGTCTCGTATACTTTTTTCCCTTTTTTGGAGTATAGGTGATTTGTTACAAAAAATTTTCTTTTCAGGAGACAATTCGAAAGAATGAACGCCAAACAACGACGCGATGTGATTATCGGATTATACCAAGGCGGAAAAAATGGCCCGGAGATCGTAAAAATCACGAAATATCCAAAAAGCACCGTCAACAAAGCAATCAAACGCTATAAGGAGTTAAAGAGCAACAAGGATCGCCCTCGAAGTGGTCGAACACCAACCGCTGTAACACCTACGAACATCAACAAAATTCGCTGTCGGATTCGCCAAAACAAGCTGCGGTCGATGCGAAAGATGGGCAAACAGCTGAAAATTAGCCCTCGAAGCGTTGGAAGGATCGTTAAAGGGAAACTAGGATTCTGTAGCTACAAATTGGCCAAAGCACACTTCTTGAGCGACAAATCCAAGAAGAAACGAAAGCTTCTAGCAAAGAAGATGGTGCGCTTGGTGGCGAATGGTCGACTTGCGAGGATCCTCTTCACAGATGAAAAGTTTTTTTCTATCCAACCATTGCACAACCGCCAAAATCATAGACAACTTCTCAAAAGAGGTCTGAAGAACACATTTGCGGCAAATTTGATGGTTAGGAAGCATTTTCCATCTTCGATTATGGTGTGGGGAGGCATTTGTGCTACAGGCAAGACACCTCTTGTTTTTTTGGACAGGAACGTCAAGATAAACGCTAAAAACTACCAACAACTGGTATTAAAAGATGTCTTGAAACCTTGGGCAACAAATCACTTTCGACAAGCTGGTTTTTCCCTTCAACAGGACTGGGCTCCGGCGCATGGTGCTCACTCAACTCTCAACGCTTGCAATCAGTTGTTTCCAGGCTTTTGGGATAAGACCATTTGGCCTTCAAATTCGCCAGATCTTAATCCCCTCGATTACTCCGTTTGGGCTATTTTAGAAGACAAGATCTCAATGAAGACGTATCAAACAGTGAATGCTTTAAAAGCTGCTCTGAAACGAGCCTGGGATGAAATAACTGTTCAAGAGTGTGCCACCATCGTGAGGAACTTCCCAAAGCGTTTAAAGAAGTGTATCGAATCGGATGGTGGAAATTTCGAGCATTTTTTATAAGTTATTTGTTGTTATGATTCGAATAAAGAATTTGTTATTAATTTTTAACTTTTTAAAGCCAGTTTTTAAACCTTTAACTATCTTAAGAAGCGGCTCCGAACTTTTGCCGCACCCTGTATTTCAAAAAGTTTCTGACAACAAATCAGAGTGGGCGTAAAACAATAAGAGATTTCTTCAGCTTCAGCTTGCTCACGTTTTGAGTGGCCAGGCTTTAGACGACTTTTTAATGAGTTAATGAATAGGCAATGAATCCCATTCAAAACCTAAAATAAAGGACTTAAAATAGGGAAAATTTGTGATTAAGGCTAATTTTATCTAATGCTTTAACTTTTCAGAATCACCTATTTTAGCAAACACTTTGTGCCAAGAAGATGACACCAAAAAATCATTTTTTGGAAATACAGCTTCTCTGTAACAAATTTTTAGCCAAAAATAGAGATTATAGAGCGTATTGCTCATTTATGCTAGCTTTGCCTCATAAGGAATCGTTTGAAAGTGAGCTGAAAAGCTGGAAAATAATACTTTTTTCAAAAATATCTAAAATTTTATGGGAAAGCTGAACTCATTTTTTACGAGTAATTTCTTGGAGTCAACTTGTAAATAATAGAAGAAAATGTTCTTTAATTGGTGGATTCGTTTTTAAGAAATTCCAAACTCTTTCCGAGAACTTTCTTTTCAACCTAATACTAAAGTTCGGATGGTTCAGGTCTTGGTTCGGGTGTTTTTTTTATTTACTTGCTTTTTATTTCTTTTTTTCCAACCTAATAGCACGCCGGAGTACTATCAGTGAGAATACAGTAACTATTACCAAAACGATAACAGTACAATAAAATTGATCAAATTGAGCAACTGAAAAACGATTTGAAGTATGATTGTCTTTGAGGTGAATAGGCGTCTCATCTCCGATTGGATACCTCTGTAATTAGTAGTAAGTAACAGCGATTCACCTTAACTCAAAATTTTCTTCACCTTTCTTTCACTTTTGTGGCCATTCGACTTCTCGGCAAAATGACAACCATCACACAGCCCGCGCCGATTACGAACACGTCGATTATCACGTAGATCCCTTGAAATCAGCCAAATAACAGAATGAAACGACCGAGTTAATGTCTATATCTTATCAGCTTTCATTTTAATCGGTGTGTGAAAAACCGTAGAGTTTCTTGACAGCTGACTTTTAATCTAGCTAATCGATTTAAAAAATCTTTGGTTCAAAACGACAGCCAATTCTAGTTCCTACTAGACTTGCTTATCGATATTATCGATACAAGCGGCAAACTCATGTTTGACCGTTCAGATCTCGGTCTCTAGAACAGCTATCAATCTGCGAATTGTTTCATTGGAAAGCCAAGAATGTCAGCTTTTCATTGCTATCTCACACACCTGAACGGTCAAACATGAGCATGGCGTTTTGTATCGATAATATTGATCAGCTAGTTCCTACCTATCACTGGAAAGCTGGACGTTTTCGGAATTTGATTGGAGACTAATTCGAGAAGAACACTCATCGACATCATTGTCGTTAAACCGAGAGAAAGCTGAAATGAAAATACGATTGTTCAAAGTTTTCCGAATTTAGAGTATCCATTTAACTTACTTTCAGCAATTTCTCATCGACACTCGTTGAAACCCAAAAAAGTCCAATAATTGAAAGGAAAGTTAGTAAAAATGCTGGCACTGCAATGACCCAAATGTAGAAATTAGGGATTCGTTTATAAACAAACGTGTAAAAAGCCTGAAAAGAGTTTTTTTAAAGACAGATAAATGACTTTACATAATCAAAAGCGAAATCCGAGTAGTTGGTGATCATCTTCCCAACAGAGATATTCAGAATCGTCCACTCACCGTTTCCCTAAATATTACAAAGTTAACGCATAGAAGAAACAAATGAACTGAATAACTTAAATGTATTGTAAGTTATTGGAATTGTAAGTTATTCAATTGAGTTTGTGCCTTTCCTTTTGCACTAATTTGAATCGGTGAATAAGTCTGCTAAACTTTTAACTCTAAATATTACTCTAAACATTACTCTGAACATTACTCTAAACCTTGAAAATCTTTTGATCAAAATCATCGTAGATCACCACATCTATCGTTGCCAGAGAAATGTCGTAATTGTAAACATCAAAGCCAACTTGACATGTTTGCGTATCAAAAGGGAAATGGCCCAACTGAAAGTGAAAGTTTCAGTTTAAGTCAGAGATTAGTTTGATGACCAATAAAAGAGCGCAAAGACCTAATCTCAAAACGCAAAGGCTCAAAGACTCAATGGCTCAAAGACCTTTGAGCTCAAATAAATGCAAAATCAAAACATTACATTCATTGAACAGGAAAGGCTAACATAGAGTGTCCGATCCATGTAAAGACTTCCATCGTACCCCAACTCGATCTGCTTTTGGTAAATAGGTACCACTTCTTCGATCGCTTTCCTATAAACTTTACTTTAATTATTGAAACATCGTCTACGAGATGCTTATTGAAACAACGTCTACGAGATTAGCTCAATGATTTTATGGAAAAGGCAACTCTCACGCATTGCTGATGCTATTCTCGGGCAACCAAATCGAGTCCATTTGAAGCCAAATTTTGCTCACACCACCAAAATCGTCGGGATTCCATTGAAGACGTGGATCTGTCCATTCCTAAGACTTGAATTTTCTCACAAATCGATTATTTTAAAGTTTTGTGTTAATCTGAGGTCTGTTAATCGGTTAACGATTTAAAGGTTTAAAATCTTGAGAACAAATGGTCTATCTGAGGTCATATTGTTTAAACTTTCGCTTTTTTTAAACTCACAAAGCCAAACTCGAAAAGTTGATCGATTTCTTGGCTCTGTGCGGCCTGAAAGTTCTCTACTTGATAAAATTATGCATCAATCTCTGCTCACCAGTTCAATCACTTTAACATATGCTAAAGTGATGTTCACGTTGAAGCGTGGAACCTCTTGAGCTAAAAATTAGTATTTTTGAATTCACATATTTCAAATTTAAACACAAACCTGTTAGATTGTATGGTTGAAGAGAGTAGATTGGTGAAAGCTCTCGTTTATAGGCTCTTCTCTCGAAAAGCTCAAAGTACAATCGTTGAGTGTTCTCATAAAAGACACCAAGCTTTTCTAAAAGGAACTTTAAGTACTTACCATAAAAGCTGTAATACAAAGTGTAGTGTAGCGTTTAACAAATTTGCTTCTTGTTTTTTTGCTAAGAAACGCTTTTACTACGTTTGCTTTTACTAAAAAACGTCTTGTAGTGATCTCCGTAGAAGGTCAATACCAAATCTATTGTTTCTTGCTTCAGTTAGCGTTAATTTTTCACTGACCGTTTCCAACAATTTCTGTCCAGTTCAAAGTGGTGTCTTGTTGATTTGTGACGTCGAAAATTGTTGTCAAAACAAGAGTTAATTGAAAAGAGAGATGGCAGTTTATTTGCATTAAGTTGAATTCTGAATAATTTATTGGAATTTTTCTTTCTTTCAGTTTTTCCTTGAATACTTAGTGTTCCTAGATAGCAAACACTTCAAATTCCCCTCAAAGCGATTCTTTTTTGAAATACGAGAAGGATTTTTTAAGAAGAAGGAAAGCATAATCGAGCATAAAAGGGTTTTTCAGCTCTCTCAGGTTTTATGATAATTTACTTTGAAATTTAAGAATTTAGCTTTCTGTTCGTTCTCCTTTAAGAAAAAGCCTTGTTTGGCTTGTTTGCTTTGGCAAAAGCTTTCAACGCACAGATCGATTCTGAGTTTGTTTTTGTACAATGCAGTTACTGTCAACAACTCTATGCCAGGAAAAACAGCAAAACAATCAATCTTTTATGGAGACGGTTCCCAAGTGCCGTGCTGCTCATCATCAAGCCCATCACAGTCAGTACATCCGTTCGAATAGGCTCCATCGTTGCGGATTTGCCATGTCGCTTTCCCATCGTTATCGCCCTGACTGGCCACGTTCGGAGCTCCACCACAACCGCTACTAGAAATTGGATTTTAAGTGAACACCTTTTATAAATAGATAACAACACTGGATAACACTGAATAACAATAACACTGGATCTCCCTAAACATTCTGGTGACCAATTGCCAGATGAGCGAGCATCGTCGCCGTTGTTGTTGGCATAGCACCAGAAGCAAGTGCTAAACGACGAGTGGAAACTCCAACCCAAAGCCTCAAAAGAAAAATTAACGATATTGATTGCTTTATCGGGTTAAAAACAAGGTAACAAGCCATTTTGTGAGTATTTCTAAAGCCAGGTAAATTTTTAACTTTTCAACACGAAAACGCTTTGAACACAACTTAACAGGCTCTCTAGTGAGACTCTTTATTAGACGTTAGACTCTCTATTAGACTTCTTAAGTTTACCTAGAAGCTTAAAGCTAAGCCTATTCAATCTACAGGGTGGTCCAAAATCATAGCAACTCGGTATTTGCTGGAATCAGCTAACTGCAATGTAAAAAAATAATTAAACCATTGATAAAATAATAGTTTTTATTCATTTTTCAACAAAAAAATCAATCAAGCTCAAAGTGGGAGCCTTTAACGTTAATGTAGGCATTGAGTCGTTGGAACGTATTGACCGGGGCGATCAGGTAGGCTGTATCCAACTCATCCCAGGCTTTCATCAACGATTTCTTCTAGAAATTGATGTTTTTGTTCGGCTTCGAGCAAGCTTTTGCTTCCAAAACGCTCCAAAAAGAGTAATTAAGGGAGTTAAAATTAGGAAAGCTTGGTGGCCACTCGGAAAACATGATAAATTCGGGGAGATTGTTCTCACATGAATCCTGAACTTTGCGAGCTTTGTGCGCGGGAGCACCGGCAATAGCGTCTTCAAAGTAAGAATTTGCCGATGAAACTTTTAAGAATATTCAAATACACGTCCTGATTGAAACAAGTGGCATTCCACGAAAACAAGTGGCATTTTTCTATCTGATATCACAGCTGCAAAAACCATAACCGATTGTGGATGAGAAGCTCGCTAAATTCGAGAATTCGGCTTAATTTTCGATTAGATGCCATTATTCTGCTTGTTACGATACGCTTTAACAGTAAATATCTTTTCATCACTGAAAATGCCGGCTGCCGGTTGTTAATCGACATGAAGATGCCGAATATCGACATGAAGATGCTGAAACATCTCAGCAGGGCCTTTGAGCATGCTAATCGTTGAGCTTGTGTAGCCACCGACAGCAATTTGACTTTGTTCTGCTTGTAGGCGTTCAATTTATGGTCGCCAACAATGATTCTTCGAAGAGAAGATCGAAAGAAGCCAATATCTTGGCCTTGGCCTTGACCTTGGCCTTGACCTTGACCTTGGCCTTGACCCGGGCTCTGTTTATCAAGAAGGCTAGGAAAACTCTTCAAAAGTAATTCAGCTATGGGTGGATGTGTACCGTTGGAATGATCTCTCGTGCTCAGAGAAACTTCGATCCGCTGTGTGTAAGCAAGCTTCAAAATATCTATGAAAAGAATACGATAAACTATTTAGAATTTATTTTGAGAAATACTGACAATTTGCTAAAATTGATAACCTTTTTCCAGCTTTAATCGATCTCAAACCAGCAGGTACCGTAAATACTTTTTTTTCGCCGATAACGCCGATAACTTGTGTTGATTTGATGCTTTGTAAACCAAAAATGGCAGAAATAAATCGTCTGATTGATTTCCTGCCATATTCGGCAAACTTTTGTTGATGAACATCTCCTGTCACGGCAGACAGGTTTGAACGTGTCAACCAGAAAGTGGAAAGCCGCTTCCCTCGCAGAAAATTAGAATCATTTCTTTTTTGGACTTTTTATTCGTGATGGGTTCAAGCAAAGTGGTTGAACACACACTTCACACAAACTATTTCATTTCAAATCCAATAAACAATATTATAGTTTTTCGAGTCAATATTTTATATTAGTAAACAATCAAAGGGTGATCAATCTTCCCGAATTTCTCCACGTAATTTCTTATCAAAAAAAAATGAAAAGAGAAGTCACAAGTCAGAGCAAAGACAGAAAAAAATGGCGTTTTCTCCACAAGATCACTGATCAGTTTGATTTTTTGAACTTATCCAGCATTTAAACTTCTTAGCTTTATAGAAACTTTTACGTTCATTTTTGTTTGATTTTGCCTATCGTAAATACTGTAATAGTACCCCACCCCCTCGTACAGTCGCGTAGTCGCAAAAGTTTTTTAGTATTTCATTTTTTCCAAAGCGCCCGTACTTTCAAAAAATGCATCTTTGGTGTCAAAAAATAGCCCTGAATCTCAGCTATTTTTTGATATCTAAACGAGCATTGTAGCCTAAACCAGTGTCGAGAAACACTCATTCAAAGCTAGACTAAGCAACACTCCGCACCGTCATTATGGGGGTGGCGTACTATTACAGTATTTACGGTAGGCTGTGGCCAAAAAGAAAATGAACCATAAGGATCATTTGAGGCAGTTTTCAAAATGATTTTATGAAAAATGTTTGAATTTGTCAATTCTGGCCTGTTTTGACTCACAGAATTTAGATTTAGCAAAACTCGTACAGACGGACAAACAGACAAACAGACAAACAGACACTCTTTTGTTTACTGGGCAAAGTACGTGGACAGACTTTGTCTACAGAAATATCTACTACCATGAGAAAAAGCCCGTACAGACGAACGGACAGACACTCTTTTATATAAAGTTCTGTTGTAGTTTAAGATTGTTTAAATGGGCGGTCTTTTACCCGATTGATCATGATGTTTTCTCTAAATCTCTTCACTTTGATATTGGAAAGATTTCTGTGTCGATAAATATTCTAAAATCACTGAACCAACAAGGAAAGATCACTAAAATCACTAAACGCAGCAAAGCTTCTTATTACTTTGCACACTTTGTTATCTACTATATATAAAGAAGACGAGACGTCTGTCCGTTTGTCCGTCTGTGCTTTTGTCCGTCTGCCATTGGCAAAAAGGAGTCGCTGTGGATGTACAGTGCGTTTCACATCAATACGTTCACCCAAGAAAATCGCAATTTCTTAAGTTAGCAGCATGGTACTGTTTGAATTCTTTTTTTTATTGAAAAGAACGCATCAAAAAACCCCTAGATTCAACAAATTGCTTAAGATTTTTGCAGATTTAGGCAAAAAAAGACTCATAAAGGACCAAAAACGACCGGGATCCTACAAATAATTGTTCACGACAGAAAGTGTTCTTTTGATTTGCTTGGCGATCGAGCTCTCCTTGACCATGGAGCGTATCGATTTTTAGCCTTTTTCGTAGTTAGAAAGCTTGGTCCTCGCGTGGGACAAAGAAACGCACTAACTACAAGAAGAAGCTGAACGAGAAGCCGATCGAGAACGATCGAGATGTTCGACTTCTCGCCAATACGATTCACGATTCATGATGTCAGGGAGGTTCTGAAGCTTGATTTTTCGATTCTATGGTGTATAACCCATAAGAACCGTCACATTTTCCACATATTCTACAACAATGAGCCGGCGGGTCGTCCTTAAAGACTACCGTAATCGAATCCTCAGCCTACCGTAACCTAAGCCTCTACCATCACTTCATTATCTATCTTAATTGTATTTATGCACGCTTGACGACTACGTAGATGGGTTACGGTAACGTCTATTGTAAACCATCTACGATTATGATAAACTAGACATGCTTTAAACCGTTTAGAGCGTGTTAGAGGACGTCGGAGATCATGCGTTTCCGGGAAAGCACAAAGTATGCGTCAGAGTTCGACATGATGCTTACTATGACAGGGAAAGTGACACGATGCTTACTATGACAAAGGAAAGTGACACGATGCTTACTATGACAAAGGAAAGTGACACGATGCTTACATTGACAAGGAAAGTGACACGATGCTTACTTTGGCAAGGAAAGTGACACGATGCTTACAAGGAAAGTATTACTATTACTTGTAAAGCTTAAAGCTATTAAGCTATCAAATTTTAATATTTATAAATCTATTTTCCAATCTTTCCAAGATCTATTTTCTAAACTCTAAATTGTGCTAGTCATAAGTCACAAGTTCCAGTGTTTCTTTGGAGGCAAAACCCAGGAAAAGGGGGTTGTTGATTGCCTGATTTGTCTTTACCCCTTTTCTCTAAACATACTTGAAAAAAGATAAGTGCTAGATATAAAATGGGAAGAGATTTCAAGGTCTTTTTTAAGCCAAAAGTTTTCATTTTCATTCTTTGACCGTTTCTTTTTCACAAATACTTTTTTCACAATGTTTTTCCTACTAATTGTGGTCATTTTGACCACTTATGCCTTATTTCAATATCAGTTGATGCGGAAATTACCGCCAGGTTGGTTTTTCACAGAATATTGTAATTTATTCAAATTTAGGTCCAATTCCATTTTTGTTCTTTGGAAATTTTCCGCATCTTTTCTACTATTGTGTGCGGAAAGGTGGCTTTGCGAAAGCGCTACGTGAGATACAAAAAAGTTATGGAGATGTGAGTT